AATGAATATACTTTATAGAGAACCTATTAATATCTAATAATAAAATAATAAAATGCAATAACGTGCTTTGACCACCAGGTGTCCCTTTCTATCAGCTCTCAATCAATCAATCAATGTTTATTTATATAGCCCAATATCACAAATGTTACATTTGTCTCAGTGGACTTTACAGTTTGTACAAAATATCAGTATGACAATACGACACCCTCTGTCCTTAGACCCTCACATCGTACAAGGAAAAACTTCCGAAGAAAACCCACAGTTTAAAGGGAAAAATGGGAGAAACCTCAGGGAGAGCAACAGAGGAGGGATCCCTCTCCCAGGACGGACAGACGTGCAATAGATGCCGTGTGTAAATTGAAAAGATAATACATATACAACATAGGTAGTCCAAATGTTTGGAAATGCATGTGTGTATAATAGGAAGATGAATCCACGAGGATATCCATCCAGGACCTATGATCCAGGACCACAGCCACGACTCAAGATCCAGGGCTCGCGATCCAGGACAAAGGAGCGCAGGATCATCCATGACTCCAGATCCCGGCGTATATAGACACCAAAAAGAAAGAAATTTGGGGAAGCTGGGTTAATCGGAACATGAGAGTACACAGGTATAGACAGAGAGAAGGAAGAAGTAAGATGTCCCCCGACAAACTAAGCCTATATCAGCAAAACTAGGGGCTGAATCTAATCAGCCCTAACTATAAGCTTTATCAAAAAGGAAGGTCTTAAGCGCACTCTTAAAAACGGATAGGGTGTCTGCCGCCCGAACACAAACTGGAAGCTGATTTCACAAATGTGGAGCTTGATAAGAAAAGGCTCTGGCTCCCATTGTACTTTTAGAGACTCTAGGAACAACCAACAACCCTGCATTCTTGGAACGCAATGCCCTAGTAGGACAGTAGGGTATAATGAGTTCTTTAAGGTAAGATGGTGCCTGCCCATTAAGGGCTTTGTAGGCGAGAAGAAGAATTTTAAATTCTATCCTGTGTTCTATAGGGAGCCAGTGTAAGGCAGCCAGAACAGGAGTAATGTGGTCCCTTTTCCTAACTCTGGTTAGTACACGAGCTGCAGCATTTTGAATCAGCTGAAGCGACTTGACTGACTTCTTGGTACACCCTGATAATAAAGAGTTACAATAATCCAGCCTTGAAGTAACAAATGCATGGACTAGTTTCTCTGCATCGTTTTGAGGCAAGATATGCCTGATTTTTGCAATGTTACGTAGATGGAAGTAGGCGGTCCTTGAAATTGATTTTATGTGGGCGTTAAAGGATAAATCCTGATCAAATATAACACCAAGATTCCTTACAGTCTCACTGGAGGCCAAATTAATGCCATCCATAGTTAGTATATCCTTAGATAATTTGTTTCGTAGATTCTTCGGGCCAAGTACAATAACTTCAGTTTTGGTTGTGTTTAACATCAAAAAGTTTAAGGTCATCCACGTTTTTAAGTCCTTAAGGCAGTCTTGAATTTTATTTAGATGATTAATTTCATCAGGCTTGATTGATAAATATAGTTGAGTATCATCCGCATAACAATGAAAATTTACAGAATGATTCCTTATAATATTGCCTAACGGAAGCATATATAATGTGAACAAAATAGGTCCGAGCACTGAGCCCTGTGGCACTCCATGGCTAACTTTGGTTTGCGTGGAAGATTCATCATTGACACGTACAAACTGAGAGCGTTCAGATAGATAGGACCTAAACCAGCCTAAAGCAGTTCCCTGTATGCCAACTAAGTGCTCTAGTCTTTGCAATAAGATATCATGGTCGATAGTATCAAATGCAGCACTGAGATCGAGCAAAACAAGAATAGAGACACGTCCCTTGTCAGAGGCTATTAGAATGTCATTTGTGACTTTAACCAGAGCTGTCTCTGTGCTATGATGTGTTCTAAAGCCAGACTGAAAATCTTCAAATAAATCATTGTTTTTTAAGTAATCACACAACTGTTTTGCGACCGCTTTCTCAAGAATTTTTGAGAGGAACGGAAGATTGGAAATAGGTCTATAATTGGCTAAAACTTCTGGATCGAGGTTGTGCTTTTTAAGAAGCGGTTTTATCACTGCTACTTTGAATGATTGTAGAACATAGCCTGATAATAAAGACATATTCATAATATTTAATAAAGAAGTGCTAATTAATGGAAAAACTTCCTTCAACAGCTTAGTTGGAATTGGGTCTAACATACACGTTGATGGTTTAGAAGAGAGAATCATTTAATTTAATTATTCAAGGTTTATGGCTGAAAAGCATTCTAGTTTACTATCTAGTGTAATATTAGAACTTACGTTTCCGGGAGCTGTTGATAACACTATACTGGTCAAAGGCAAGAGGTCATTAATTTTGTTTCTAAGAGTAACAATTGTATCGTTAAAAAAGCACATACAATCATTACTACTGAGTGCTATGGGAATAGAAGGCTCAATCGAGCTGTGGCTTTCTGTCAGCCTGGCTACAGTGCTGAAAAGAAATCTTGCATTATTCTTATTCTCATCTATTAATGAAGAGTAGTAGGCTGCTCTCGCTTTACGCAGTGCTTTCTTATATTCATTGAGAGTAATATGCCAAATTAAACGAGATTCTTCAAGTTTAGTGGAACGCCATATCCTTTCAAGTTTTCTCGATTTTTGCTTTATTTTGCGGGTTTCGGCATCTGCACAGTTATGGTTTAAATACAGCCTATCTACCAATTGGATCAAATATAAAAGTCAGCCGAATTAGTGTTGATACTGCAAGGAGACGCATTGTGTGAAAAGAAATGTAAGATGTTGTATAATTGCTTATATATTTATGATCCACGTCACATCTTCAGTTTTGGCGGCAGTTCTCCTGTTTGTCCAGAAGTCTTCTCAGCAGGGCTCTATAAATAGAGAACTACGGCAGATATGTCATATTTAATTTAGCCGAACCGTGTATTACAATGCCGTTATGTGATGACTTTCAAAGAGTAAAGCAAGCACACTCGGAATAAAGTATTATTGTATTTTTAAAAAACGTTTTCAGATTTCACATCACATAAACACCAAATCCCAGCATGCATTGCGGATAACCATCCAATCATCGAGCTGAGGATCTTGCCTACGTCTGTTTCATTACATTACATTGCATTTAGCTGACGCTTTTATCCAAAGCGACTTACAATAAATACATTCGACCAGGAAGACACAACCTTGAAGAAAACAGAATCATATAAGTACATCAGGTTTCATAGAGCCAAAACATTTCAAGTGCTACTCAACTGGCTTTAGATAAGCCAGGCCTTTATTAGTATATAAGTGCTTTGTTAATAGTTCTATCGCTCGAAGTGGAGTCGAAAGAGATGAGTTTTGTTTCCGGTTTCATTTAATGACCGATGTATTTTGTTATACACACATTCCTTCACATTTACATTTTAATGTGCATTAAAGTATTTCGTGAGGCCTTCTAACATGTTTTTAAATATAACTACGGTTGTAGTTGAATAGTTTGTAAATTAACATGAACCGAAGCTGTTGCTTGGCAACTCAATCGCACAACGTCACGTCCGTTAATTCCACATCCACACGCATGGATTAACATCGATTTAATACATTAATGTAGCCTTTGTTTCTGCTAAAAGAGGTGTCGACCAGCTGGGGCAACAAGAACATCGCTGTAATCGAGTGTGACTATTAAAAAATAAATCATTACGTCGGGGTAGCATTTGCTTGGTATTTCCGGTTATTTCTCCACTGGTTAACATGGGTTAACAATACCGTGTAGCTGTCACGTTTGAAGGGGACGAAACCGTGACATCTTCACGTCTCCCAGCATGGTAAATCATCACATGTTCACGTCTTGCCGTGATACCGGGTTGAGTCTGACACAAGGATCTGACACTATTCTAAAGACAATTCTATATAATGATTGTTGGTAAATATTATCTGCATCTTAAAATGTTCATCAGTTTTGTTAAGGTCATGCTAACATTCATTAGCAATAATGGAACTGCCAAAATAAAGCTGAGGCTAATGAGAATGTAATAAATTCTGTAGGTTTATTATCAAAGATTATTACAAGAGTATTTAAAAGCGAAAAGAGGTAGTGAATTAGAAGAAGATGAAGCTTTATTTTATGCCCAAGGTGAAATCCAGGCGTTCACTCAGTTGAAACACACAGTAGCCTACAATACACACACATGCCCAGGACAGGACCTGTACACATTGGTCTGAATACATATACAGAGATACACTGAACACAAATATAAACGCAACACTTTTGTTTTTGCTCCCATTTTTCATGAGATGAACTCAAAGATCTAAAACATTTTCTATATACACAAAATAACCATTTCTCTCAAATCTGAAAAAATCTGTGATAGTGAGCACTTCTCCTTTGCCGAGATAATCCATCCCACCTGACAGGTGTGGCATATCAAGATGCTGATTAGACAGCATGATTATTGCACAGGTGTGCCTTAGGCTGGCCACAATAAAAGGCCACTCTGAAACGTGCAGTTTTGCTTTATTGGGGGGGTCCGAAATCCAGTCAGTATCTGGTGTGAGGGGTAGGGGTAGGGTAATGTTGTGAATCGAGTGGCCCATGGTGGTGGTGGGGTTATGGTATGGGCAGGCGTATGTTATGGATGACGAACACAGGCCACTCGATTCACAACTAACCCCACCCCTAACCCTAATCCTACCCCTCACACCAGATACTGACTGGTTTTCGGACCCCCCCAATAAAGCAAAACTGCATGTTTCAGAGTGGCCTTTTATTGTGGCCAGCCTAAGGCACACCTGTGCAATAATCATGCTGTCTAATCAGCATCTTGATATGCCACACCTGTGAGGTGGGATGGATTATCTCGGCAAAGGAGAAGTGCTCACTATCACAGATTTTTTCAGATTTGTGAACAATATTTGAGAGAAATAGTTATTTTGTGTGTATATAGAAAATGTTTTAGATCTTTGAGTTCATCTCATGAAAAATGGGAGCAAAAACAAAAGTGTTGCGTTTATATTTTTGTTCAGTGTACATACAAACACAGAGAGATGTCTGAGCGAGCAGGCTGCCAGTTTGTCCGGCGCCGGGAGCAGATGGACACGGATGTGTAGAGTTAGTCCCTGTATTAAAATATCTGTCAACTAAATGATATCTGGTTCCAACCTTTTGATTTTACATTATGAATATTAAACTATACGCTATAGACCATACCACGTTCCCTCTGACTCGGGGCCAAATCAGTTTCTTTCTTTTCATCCTTCCTGTTTTCATTCAATTCAGTCAGTTGCACTTTCTTTACTTCCTACATGTCTTCTGTCTTCATTGAGTTCCTCTCTCGCCTCTGTCTCCTCTCTCTTCATCCTTTTCTTCAGTCACTGGAAAGATAAAAATACCATGCATTTCATCTAACTTTATCCTGCAAAGTAAGTACCAGCAAATGTGGTAAAAGGAACGCAATGTTGTGATAATACCTTGGTTGCAGTCGTATTGTCATAAATCAGGTCCTATCATTTTCTCACCACTATGGTGATGCTCCAGTTAATGATGTGCATCTGCTGTGAGAAAACTACAATTTTACGGACTATACCATAAGCACCTAGATTTGGTACTTTACCTCGTGTGCTCTTATGGTGTGGTTTTTTGCGGGCTTGATGAACATGAACAACAGCGAAAAATATATTCTTCATCACCAAGGTTAGAATTGAAAAAAAAGAAAGATGAAAATATTCTAAATAATTAAATTTTTATGAAATATATGCATAACTTGTAAGGCCTACGCATCTATCACTGTGTACTTCCCCATTCAAACATAAAAAGAGTTAAAGAAACACCATACAACTCATCAAACACTACTGCTGGCATTATTTGATCATTTTATATGAATAAACGTAATGTTCATATTCCACCTTTTGATTTGATATAGTGTTCAAAACATATAAGCACTTTGGCAAGTTATGGCATAAGTTGTAAAATGCTTAATAAGCACCGTAACTTACACAATACGCAGATATTGGCCATGACACACACACAAACACACACCTAGCACCAGACACTTTATTACTACGCTGCTATTGACAATGATTTGCACTACTGTACATATTTTTACTGTAACATATTTATCTTCATCTGTTTATAAGTGACTGTTATTTTTTTAAATATTGATTGTTGTGCCTTTTATTTATACATCTTAATGTGTGTAAATGTCCAGTATATATGTGTCGATGTTTGATTATGTATGTGTATATATAGTATATATATATATATAAGTGGGTGTACAAGTGTTCATGTATGTTTCTATATATATATATGTATATATTTAAATGTTGTATTCCTCTGGATTGTAAGAAACAGCATTTCGCTCTCCTAGTCTGTACCACCCACACAGAAGATTTACTATAAAGTTGACTTTGACTCAGATGAGTGGTTGTTTTCGTGAATGGCTGAATGTTGTGTCACGTTAAATGTTGTGACTGCAAGGTATTGTGGGACAGCATGTTCTCCTTTCCTTTCGTAAAGGCTGGTCTAGTGTTTCTTAAGCTAAAGGAGGTTATAATAAAGGAGGCATTGAAGCTCCTTTCCTATCATCTAAAAGAATCCGAACAGATGTTATCATGGCTGACAGTTTAACAAAATGAATGTAGATTATGAAATGTACTGAAACTACTTCCTTTGTTTTTCTGTTCCAAGGATGCATCACTTAGAGAACATTCCTGGTATGGGGAATTTATATTTTTTGGTGGTTTCTAGAATTACTTGAGCCAGTTGGGAGCACGTTGATGATGTCATATGTCAGTCCTTTGAATTGTAATATATCCAGGCAACGTTCTGCCTGCTACCTTTTATTACTGAATGTTTGATTCCTATAATCCTGAATAGCACAAATTATTGTTGGGTTGCTGGTATTTGCTAATAAAAGAATGGTACAGACATGAGGATGCAGCGTAATACGGAAAATTACACAAGCGATCCTTAAGTTTCACAACAGAAACTGTGGAAAAGAGTCCATTGGTAATGCTAAGGTGTTTGTAAGTAGCCTAAAGTATGTGTAAAAGCGTAGAGTACGCTATTTGACAACCTGTCACTACCAGTTCTTCTTCTGATTCTTCTGTTTGTTTTTGATGCGGTTCTTCAGGGCTAGAAGGTCAATGTAGAGGATCTGGTTGAGGACGGCCGAGGCACAGAGCAGTCCTCCATGCAGAGCCCCAGCCATGCCGTTACAGAATACGTCCTGACCTGCACCAACAAACACACGGAAACATTAAGCAGGGGGTTCAGTCTCTTCAGAATCCAGACCATATTCTGGCAGCTTGGTCACCTGTCAGGTAAAGTCCATTGATCGGTGTCTGCGGGCGTGTTCTCGCAACCGTGTCTGGGCTGAAGCGCTCCAAGTTGTGTTCAGCACCGTACATCTCACCTCTTGGAGCGCCCAGATAGTGTACATTAGTTAGAGGGGTGGCAGCATCCACCATCACCACCTGAGCATAAACACACATGCAATTTGTAGAATTCAGGTAATATTGGCTTTTGTTTTGGAATCAGTAAAGAAAAAGGTATTTGTGTTCGATACTGTATATGATAAAACACTTAAATATGAGTGTAACCCACTGCCTTCAAATATAATAGTGACACCAGAGCTGAGAGAAGTACTCAGATATTTTACTTGAGTCAAGGTAGAAGTACCAGAGTGTGGGAATACTCTGTTACAAGTAAAAGCCCTGCATTGAAAATGTAACTCTACTAAAGCACAAACGTACAGTATCAGCATCCAAATATACTTAAAGTACCAAAAGTATTCATTGTGCAGATTGGTCCATTTCAGAATAATATATATGATATGTTTTATAATGATTGATCATGAAAGTGTTCTCAAAGCTGGTAAAGGAGCAGCTAGTTTGAATGACTTTGTATACTGCAGGGTAGCTGGTGGATTTACTCCAGGTGGAACTAAAGCCTGATTTAACACTTGATTATATTTCACATCATTCATCCACATCTGTGAAGTAACTAAAGGTATAAATAAATGTAGCGGAGTAAGATAACATAATTTGCCTCTGAATTGTAGTGGAATATAAGTAGCATAACATGGAAATACTCAAGTAAAGTACAAGTATCTCAAAATTGTACTTTAGTACAGTACTTGAGTAAATGTACGTAGGTACTTCCCACCTTTGAGTGACACCTAAGTTAAATTGCTGAGAACGGTTGCAGGATATAGTCTAAACCCCAATAGAAGAACTAGTGTGTGGACCTTGTCTTTGTAAAATGTTACCTTGTCTCGCAGCTGAGGGAAGATTTTTAGTGCCCACTCTAGCATCTCTTGGGACATGCTGTTCTTCATATCCAGGTAGTCCTGTCCCCGCTTGCCAAGCTTTGTCCCCTCCCATTCCTCGAACCACTCATAGCGAGCCATGGTTAGCAACGTCATACAGGACTTACCTCCAGAGATAAAGAAGGGGGATAAAAAGAGAGTGATACCAATGTTTTAGTTAACAGTGCATAACATTAAGAGGAGAAATGATTGCTGCCTATTTGGGTGTATAGTACAACCATCCAGGAGGATAAACTGCTCTGTGGTGTTTTGGTATTTCAAATGGGTTAGAATTAGGGATGCACGATATTGTTTTTTGAAACCGATAACTTCCTACTTCTCAAGACCGATACCGATAACCGATAATAAAAAAATCTTTACGCCACTAATTATTTTAACGCGATTAACGCATGTGTATTTTTTTTCCTTGGCTGCCCCGTAGTTTCAGAGCGCATCGAGTTTAAAATACCATCTACAAGCTGATGCTCCTGTCGCGTGCTTGTGGCAGACCCAAGCCCCCAGGAAGTGCGCCGGACTCAGATGAAAATATTCGTGCTGGCCAAACGGCGGTACTACACTTCCGTTTGGTTGCCAGGCCCGGAAACACTTTTTCCCATTGACTTACATGGGGAAAGAGTGGTCTGTAACTCGTTGGATTTTTTTTTTTAAACTAAATAAACTACCCAGTATGAACACTTGTATAGCCCTTATTAAAAACATTCGTTCCTCAAGTTGTAAAAATTTGCTAATAACGTTATTGTGAGAGTTATTTCCCTCTGCATTATGAACGCGCATCTAACCCACGGGACCGCGCCGCCCGGCACGTTCATGTTACGTGTCCCGACCAATCAGAGCACACTGTGCTCACAGGGAGGGTGGGGCTGGAGCTACAACGAGCCGTTAAAGGCAGAGAGTGAAATTCAGTGAATACACGTAGTTTACAGAGATGCTGTATGAGAAACCAATGTGAGTTGCGTTTATCTTTACCCATGGATGCACAATAAGAACGGATCCATATCGTCTTACTGCCATCCCACGGAGCTGTAATAATGGATATATTGCACATGTTTGCTGTAATTCATTATCATACTACATGGGCTGTATGATTAAATCTTGTACCGTAAATGTTGTATTAAATAAAGTTAATATTACCGACATTATTAACGTCCCTGTAGCTTCGTATTGCACTAAGAAGCTTATTGCACTGTATATAAATATATATATATATATATACAGTGCAATAATTATTTCATGCTAAATGAAGCTCTGTTGGATATCACTAGATCCTGTTACAGCGTAATATAAGTACATAACGATTGATGTGTACATTAGCATCATTACTAGCTAGCCGCTAGCTGCTAACTGCCGCCTCGTTCATATCAAATCCATGATAACGATATGGATCCGTTCTTATTGTGCATCCATGGGTAAAGATAAACGCAACTCACATTGGTTTCTCATACAGCATCTCTGTAAACTACGTGTATTCACTGAATTTCACTCTCTGCCTTTAACGGCTCGTTGTAGCTCCAATAGCTCCAGCCCCACCCTCCCTGTGAGCACAGTGTGCTCTGATTGGTCGGGACACGTAACATGAACGTGCCGGGCGGCACGGTCCCGTGGGTTAGATGCGCGTTCATAATGCAGAGGGAAATAACTCTCAGAATAACGTTATTAGCACATTTTTACAACTTGAGGAACGAATGTTTTTAATAAGAGCTATACAAGTGTTCATACTGGGTAGTTTATTTAGTTTAAAAAAAAAAATCCAACGAGTTACAGACCACTCTTTCCCCATGTAAGTCAATGGGAAAAAGTGTTTCCGGGCCTGGCAACCAAACGAAAGTGTAGTACCGCCGTTTGGCCAGCACGAATATTTTCATCTGAGTCCGGCGCACTTCCTGGGGGCTTGGTGCACATACAGGTACTTCTCAGGCATGCTGGGTAATCTGTGACGTTTCACTCTCTCAAAAGTTGGGCCATTTTATCATCATGCGCTAATGAGCAGCTCTCATAGGAATGAACTAGGCCCCGCCTCCCACGCTGTATCCAGTTCTTATTATACATCCATGGGCAGACCACACTTCCACGCTCACCGGCAGGCACCGACTGGCCATCTGGAGGACCGGAAGGGTGTGTGTATGTGTGGCCCGAGCGAGCGAGAGAGAGACCTGACGTGCATTGTTGTTGTTAGCATCTGGTGCTAGCTAGCTGCGCTAACTGATATACGGAGCTGTTTAAATGAAAACAGAGGAGCGACATTTCGCCACAACTGCGCCGAGCACTTGACTTTATGCAGGAAGCCAGACAGTGGGACATTGTACGAAAAGTGTGCGCAACATGATTGCAGCGTCCAGGCAGCTCCGGTTCGAGCATATGCCTTGAGTTGCGTCACAGCCAGGCATGAGTTAGGGAGCGCTGGATTTGTGAAAAACTCCCCTCTTCCTAAACCACTAATACAGGGGTGCCCAACCAGTCGATCGCGAGATGTGTCTAAAAATAGAACAACAACATTCTGTTTTATTGTTAATGTCCTGTAACATAATGTTCCTGTGCCAGAATAATGCACTTGAACGCATCAAAGCTTTGTGATTGGCCGGCGTGACCCCATGTGTCAGGGCGTGGCTGGTGGGCAGTGGGCACTATTTCGCTGACGTTGTCCGTGTCAACAGGAGTGACAGTCCGCACACACACAAGATCGCAATTATGGCAGAAGCAAAAAAGCCCAAAATATATAATTTTCACTCCGAGTGGGAGGATGATTATTTTTGGATCTATTCCAATTCAAAGTCCATCTGTCTCATCTGCAATGCGAGCGTGGCTTTATCGAAGAAGGGTAATTTAGGAGCGGCATTTCAAAACAGTCCACAAATGCTACGAGACGGAACTCCCTCCTAATTCTGCCCTACGCTCCCAACAGGGGAGGGGCCTGAAAGGACAGCTAAATGCACAGCAGTCCATTTCCACCAGGCCCAACAACAAGAGCAAGGCTGCTACCAGAGCATCTTATCGTGTCAGTCACGTTCTTGCAAAACACATGAAGTCTTTCAAAGACGGCGAAGTTGTGAAAGAAGCATTCCTGGAGGCTGCCGACGCGCTTTTGGGGGACAGTAAAAATAACAGTAGCATTTCAACAGGTTTTTGATAAAAACTCAAGTTAGATACCGTTATTAATCAGCTGTAAGTTTTAGTTTGTTTGAACTTATTCATTATAATTATTGTACAAAATGGTATAAGAATGCAAACTTAAATTGATTATAGTCTATTATCAATTCAGGTTAAGAAACTAGTGTTGCTTGCATCCTATTTTAAAGGCATTTATTTTTATATTCTACTAAAATGCAACCAAAAAATGGTTTGATTCTATTAATTTTGTCTTTTTTATTGCACTGTTGCAGCAGATTCCTGTGTAGCTTCAGATCTGAGTTGTCTTATTAGTAAGCCGAATGTATACTTTTGTAGCAACACTATTTTTATATAATGGCAAAGAAAGGGTTCAGAGTTTTTTCTTGTTTTCCTGTGTCATATGTGGCAGCACTGTTCAATGTTTCTTGAAAACATTACCCACTGTAGTGACGTGTGAATAAACTCCAACTCTGTATCAACAACACTGTTGTGTAACTTCAGTTAAATACTTGTATGTGTGTAGATTAGAAAGAGGTAAGATAAAGGATCTGCAGTATTTTATGAAGTATTAATCGTACAAAGGTCAGTTTTATACAAGTAGAAGTGTGTATTTACCTGGTAGTAGGCTGTCAGTAATGGCTACGCCTCTCTATTTGGACTGGTAGATCTCGGCAGACTGGCAACTTTAAAAGTAGCTCTCGGTTCAAAAAAGGTTGGGCACCCCTGCACTAATACCACAGTATTGGCAAAACGGGAGGAGCCGAGTGAAAAACAAGCGCCCCTCATCCCAATCCACCCACACCGCAGTATTTTTTTCTTTTTTTTTTACCCAAAAAATATATTGTATATTATCGGGGCTATTAATACTGGTATCGGGATGACGTCATAATTCCTAATATCGGGCCGATAATTATCGTGCATCCCTAGTTAGAATTACTCACAAGCCTATCAGAGCTGAGTGAGGAGTGAGGCTTAAACAGATTTCAGACAAACTTACTTTCTACAAAAAAAAGGAAAATATGTTTTTTTTATCGATAATTAAAGCATGTAAACAGGTTCTCGTCCAAACCTGAAATAGCATATGTCCCCTTAAATAGGTTCATGTTTAAAAAAAGATAGACAGTTGCAGGCGGGAAATGAATTGCCTGTTAGGATTATTTGTTTGTACAATGAGTTCAAAAACTCATTGTTGTTAAAAAAAGGACTGCATTTTAACTCTATGCCATTTTTGAATGGTAGATTATACAGTAAGTATTCCAACTGTAGGCAGTTAGCAGATCTGCAGATAACCAACATCTTGGCATTCACTGTGGCATGATAAAAGAGGAAATATTCTGCTCATGTTCAGGTTCATATTTGTATTCTGTATTCTGTGCTTTAATGTTCAGAAAGCTCTTTATTTGTCTCATACTGCCTGTGCTGCAGCACCTCTTTTCACCCTCTGTCTGAAACCAGAGCCCAGTCTGCTCTGATTGGTTAGCTGGCCAGCTCTGATGTGATTGGTCAACTGCATAGAGATATCCCTCCCCTTAGCCTATCACGTAGCCTACAATGTGTTGGAGCGCTAGGCACCAGATATAATGTGTGTTACATAGTGATGTCACTAGTCCAATGGAAGCGTTTCATTCGGGGGCGGCAGAGTGTGTGGGTGAGAAACTCCCTCTGGAAACACAGGAATTGTAGCTTTTGCAGACCGTTTACAAAACTTTACATGCACACAAACTATACACACTACAGGAAAGGGAAGACCCCAACAAGCAGAATAGGGCCTCTTTAAGACAGAATAAGTTGCTGAATTATGTGCTTTGCCATCTACCAAGCAAGTATACATCTGTGCACATGTGAGTGTGTTACCTGGGTGTCTGAATTTGGCTGTAGGATCTTTAGCAGATGGGAAGGTGATGAACATCATGGGAATGTTCCCCAACACCTGCTCTCTGCTCAGGGAAGAGTATTTCTCCATACTTCACACAGAGTTAGGGTTAGACACACACACACACACACACACACACACACACACACACACACACACACACACACACACACACACACACACACACACACACACAGTTAAAACAACATAGGTTGTGAAAAACGAGAAATGTGAACAACACATTATGATATTTCTCTTTATATAAAAACCTACAGTGAGTCCAAGTCATTGTCTTTATACATCCAGAAGTTGGTGGAAACGATGCCCAGCTCCTCTTTGGTTCCATCCAGACCAACAAAGACCAAGAAGGAACCCATGCCGTGGCGCACCAAACCCAACAGTGACTGGATCTCTACACACACACACACACACACACACACACACACACACACACACACACACACACACACACACACACACACACACACACACACACACACACACACACACACACACACACACACACACACTTAATCTCAGGTAGAAAAAGAAAGCAGTGCAAGGTGCAGTTCATTTAGTGGCTGCAGTGATAAAGCTGTGTTACCTGGTTTCTCCTGTATGGGCTGAGGTAGAAACTTCTCGAATGTGTTGAAAATGCCAGCATTAGAAATGACAACAGGGGCATGGACCTCAATCTCTTCTTGTCCTTTGAGCACCGTCACACCTGACACACACACACACACACACACACACACACACACACACACACACACACACACACACACACACACACACACACACACACACACACACACACACACAAAGTGTTAATCATACGGAAAATAACATCATTGCATGTTTCAGCCTTAAAGTACCATTGTCACAAGGGTAAGGAAGTAAGGCCTTAAAAGCAGTTCAAAAGGGGGGTATGAAAAACCAAAATCGAGCTTTATCAAATCAAAGCTGGTTACAAAAACACACAACTAAAAAGCAGGCTAGTGCAAAAAAGGTACCAAACAAAATGATCAACACTTAAACATATATAGGAACAGTACTTATAACATTAAAGGTGGGGTATGTCATTTATTACAGAAACACTTTTTGTTATATTCCATGGAATGCTCTTAACATCCCAATAGCAATTATATTAAATGCTTTGACAATAAATACATTAAAAAAAAATCATCTGTGGAAGCCGTAGTTCTGTAAAAAGCACGACCAATGAGCCGGCCCGGCTAAAGTAACTGGATGGCCTACCTGCCTGTCAGCCTTCCATCTGTGCACAAATGTATCTCGTGCCCTCATTGGTCATGTGCGCGTTCGTGTGTGCTGGAGGAGGGGCTCTTTAATGTCTAATTTGTTTTGGTCCTCTCTTGGGTTGGTACTGTATATTAAACATGATCTTTCACATCCAAAGACTTGTGAGAAGATTTTTACCATAAACATAGATTTGATTGACATTACTCCAGTCAAGTAACACATTGTCAAGAGCCGAGGGTTTAACTATGAATAGCTTAGTTGAATCTGAATGAGTCAACATAAAGCCCCCCCCTCTTTTTTTCTTATGTTTACTTATGTTAAACTTGGGATTGTCTGTTTTTAGTATAAATATTGTAATATTATATTACAACTAAACACAAGAAATAATAAACTTATACAAAATGTTTTTACTAAATAACATTAAAGTGTATTTCCAAACACTTTCTCCAATATAATTTGTGTCATTTGGAATATTGGAAGTCTGAAGGAAGAGGCAGATTTGTTCCGGTTGTGTACTTTCAAATTCTAACGCACTAGAGGTTTCACCAAAATTACATATCCCACCTTTAACAAAGCTGGAGATCACACAATCAACAATTACAAAGACAGGAAGCAAAAGCAGAAAATAAAAGGAGAAAATAAAGGAAACTGGTAACACACCAAGATAATGACAATATTGGTAAATCTAACCAACTCCTAAAAATGCAGATGTTCACCCAACTCCTAAAAATGCTTGGAAACTGGTGCCTCATTTTTGTTTTAGTTCAAGCCTATACAATTTCTAGAGTGTATTGAAAAGCGGTTAACAAAGCGGGAAGTCATGCAACCGACTTTGAATCTCTGTTATGGCTTGGAGCACAAAAAGACGTAGCTCTGTAAGAAGACTAATAAGAGTGTGAAGGAATGTCTCATGAACTCCATGAACAGATCAACCTTAGCAAGCTCTCATTAAAAAAAGCAACTGCATTCCAGAACTCGTCTCCAACTCTTTTCTCACCATAGGCCTTGTTCTGCCGGTTGAGCAGGACGCGTTGTACCGGAGCCCGGACGAGAACAGCACCGCCCGCCTTCTCAATGACATTGATGATGTGGAAGGCAAACTCACTGGCGCCCCCACGTGGGTAGTACGCGCCACGCTTGTAGTGTTGAAGAAGGAGAGCATTGATCAGAAAGCTGGAGTCTTTAGGAGGGACACCTGAAATGATATGAAATAGACCAATGAAGAGGAGAGCAGCGTACAGCCACATTTGATCTCTATGGCCGGGACCAGTACAAATGTAGAAAATAAGGGCCATTTAAACCATTCTATGCCTTAGTTTATAATGCACATATACTTACAGATCACAGTGTATCTACAAAAACATTTAGTCACCGGTATATGGAACTAAACAATATAGTTATTTTACTTTATGGTCTAGAAATGATTTTACATTAATTTCCACATCCGTGTAGTATTCATGACACACCACTATACAAACTAAAGTGGGAGCTATTCAGGAAGAAGGATAATCTACCCCCCTCCTTGAAAATGTATACATACAAAATACATACAAGTTGTGAAAAATCAGTCTTCTCTGTAATTTCTACACTTTGCAAAGTCATCCCGCGGGCCTTATGTTTGACCCCCCTGATATGCAGTAGAGAGTGTGATCTTTGATGAATATGAGTGTTTCCATCACCATAGAAGAGGTACGCAGACAGTGCCTGCAGGTCCTTGTTCTGTGTGAGACGGGACATCATTTCTGAATGGCTGGTTGTTGCCAGGCTGAACACGGAAGATATGCGATCCAACAGGCCGGTTCGAACCAGGAAGTTAGCAAGCCAATAAGGTATGATCTTCAAGGTGGCGATAAGTGGGGTCCGCCGTGAAGCAAGCTGCAGGAGGGAGACATACGAGGTTAATTATAATCATCAATACACGTATAGATCACAAGGTCCACTAGTTTTCTGAAAATATTTTAAGATAAGATGAGATGGACCTTTATTTCAGTTTTCATAGCAGCAACAGAATAAGAAAGAAACACGGAGAAAAATAGGAATATATAAAGTATAAACATGTATTAACAGTATAAAGGGAAATGTAAAAAAGAACGTGAGTTAAATTCTTATCCAGTGATTGTACATAGGTATACTGAAACAACTGAAGCGTTGGCTTTAATTAAATGGATTATGTCAACCCATTTCACATAACTGTATTAGGTTAGTTGAAAGCAATAATATGAAGTTGAACCTAATATTTGTTATTTAAACTTAATTATTGCTTTCAACTAACCTAATAAAGTGATGAAAAATCTGTTGACATTTAATTAAAATCAACATTTCACATTTCAGTGTACCAGAGCGGCTATTATTTTGTATGTGCATACAAGGGGTGAGTTTTTACCACTTTTCACCAGTTTCAACTGGTTCTTTAACGCTCCCCTAACACTTCCGACCAAAACGCTACAGTTTTTTCCACTTTTCACCAGTTTCAACTGGTTCTTTAACGCTCCCCTAACACTTCCGACCAAAACCCTACAGTTTTAACACTTTTCACCGCTCCCCTAGCATAACAAATCATAAAAGTATCTGACTCAAGCTTGAGCCTTGTGTCACATAAAAAAGTTGTTTTGTCAAAGATGTACCTTGTACACATCCTTGTTTGTTAATTATACTCTGATAATCATTACCGTCCTTCCTCCCACCCTATTTACCTTCATCAATCTCATGAACTCATCAATGGCCTCCTCCTCTCCTGGGAACTGCTTCTTCAGGCTTTCTGCCATCTCAGTCTTCCCTGAATGGATATGGTACTCCCTGAGAATGACAACATAAAGAAGAAACATTGAAAGACAGGAGTAAATTAACTGCAACCTAATCATTATGTGTTCATTTGCCATACCTGCGCTGGTCATTCTGACCCAGGATCAGTGTGTCAAAGTGCTGCTCCAGCTTTGTGAACTGCAACTGTCCCTCTGTGATCTGATCCAGAGCCACCCTCAGCAGGCTGCCCTCATGGAGCTGGCCCAGGTAGTGGATACCTGGTGGTGGCAGCGGGGTTAAATCACCTTCATTTATATAGTGATTCAAAACGTAAAACATACACAGAAAACAGGACAAGACTGTTTTGTGACAATCGGAAGTGAAGTTTGCTTAAAGGATTTCATGGAGCACAGCAGGTGCAAAGACGGATACAATATGCTAATGTCTAAATAAACTAAAATATAGCAAAGTAATCAGTCAAAAATGTTGTAGTGACTGGAGCACAGGGTTGAGAAGGACTGCCATATCCTGTATGTTGGTCAATCTCCATCTTATCCTTATCATCAATCACTTTTTATTTAGCTGAATTCTTTTTTCAAAGCTACATTGCAATTACAGGAAAGACATTTTCATGTGTGCTGATGTGTGTGTCGGTGTTCTTCGTCTTCTTACCCACATCAAACTCAAATCCCTTATTCTGAAAGGTGTGTGTGCAGCCTCCAGCCTGATCATGTTGCTCCAGAACGAGGACCCTCTTTCCGGCTTTAGACAGAACCGCTGCTGCTGTTAAACCTCCCACACCGCTGCCAATCACCACCGCATCCAGAGCGGGGGGTACTCGGTCCACACGAAACCCTGCAGGGCAGCACATTTTAACATCAGTCTGGCAGATAGGTTGGCCTCAAGAACCCTTTCTTGACGTCCTGAACATAAGGGTTAACATAACCATGTCTCTAAAGGGCGGGTTGAAAACTACTTCTGAACTGAAGTGATTGGTCCGTGCTGCAGATGAAAGGGTCTGTCTAAACTTAAGCCATGTCCTGCCGGCGCTATATGTAAAGTCAACAACATACGGACAAACTGGAGTGCCAAGTTACTTCATTTAATAAGTGACCTGCTAATAGTACCAGAGGAAAATGATCCTTTGGGGACCATGAATATCTAGTAGCATTAATGACAATCATTACAAAAGTCAGTCACATGCATCTTCTTGGCAGAGTACTTTTACAGGTACTTTACTTGAGTATTTCCATGTTATGCTACTTTATACTTCTACTTCACTACATTTAAAAGCGATATCTTGTAATTTTTCTCCAGAACATTTATTAAACAGCTTTAGCTACTTTTAAAAATATATCTCCAAATTCAACTAGTGGACTAACTCTTTAAGTCACCAAAGTGTCACATTATTTAAACATTTTACAAAGAAAGCCAAACGGAATTTTGTTTTTCTTCAACAGTAAAATGCCACTTGGCGCCACAGCGTTATTTAGAAATGTCCCATATTTAAAATATAATTAAATACACATATAAAGGCAGTTTTTCTGCCCAATTATTACTTTTTGTACTCTAAGTACATTTAGCTGATAATGCTTTTGTACTTTTACTTAAGTAAGATTTTGAGTTCATGACTTTAATTGTAATGAAGTATTTTGAGAATAATGTATTTACTCAAGCATCTGAATAATTCTTCCACCTCTGCCTCTGTTCACTGACAGCACATGAAGGTTGAATGAAAATGAGATGCATGGCATGGCTGTTGAGATATTTCAGTCTCGACTAAACGGATGGACTGATCAACATCCCTCGAGTAGAGATCTACTTTCAAATGTTGCGTTGATTTTCAATCTAATTTGACTTCTCTGCAAGCAACTGCGTTTCCCTTCTCCCGACAATTTTCCTTCCACCAGCCCTACCGACAACCCCTGGAATACATATCAATAAATATATGAATCATTTACATAATTCACACGGCAAGACCGGGGATGCTATACGTTTAAATAAAACAACCCTAATTGAATGAAAGTAGTGAAAGTGAGACTGCATAGAGTTTGAAACCATGTTATTTTTGTGGAAGTTAGATGGAAATACCCCTTATCCCAACATGTACCAATCTGGAAACTGGTGGAATTGGACCCGAGGACAACAGGAAGGTTCATTCGTGGGGTGATGAAGGAAAGAACTGAAACCGTGTATTTCATTTGATGTATTATGTCAACAGATTAGGTTAGAATCAATAACATTAAGTTGAACCTAATGTTTTTTATTCAAACGTAATATTATTGCTTTCAACTAAACTGATACAGTTATGTGAAATCTGTTGACATAATACATTTAATAAAAGTCAACGTTGCTGTGTTTTTCAGTGCAGAAAGTTCTTCTGGACAGGAGTTCTGTCTGCTTATCACTCGTGTCAAAAAGCATCTTTCCTACCTCTCTTCAGCCTGTCGTCTCTCTGCCTGCTGTCAGTCACCAGGGGTCCTGGGGGCCTCAGGCACTTCTCGCTGAACACCTTGTAGCGTCTCCCGGTGATCAGGAAGAAGACGACCACCACCACCAGCAGCACACAGCTCGAAACGCCAAGCAGCCACCACCACATCGCAGAGGGGAGCGGTGTGTTCACTACACAGCAAGATGGAAAAGAGAGCAACGAGGAAAACTCAGAAGAAGAACATACAAGATTCCAAATTAGAGGTAGGAGAGCAAAGACTAAGAAAGGATATCCTCCAACAAGATTTCCCCAGAAAGAGCTCCTAAATTCAGGGGAGGAGATGGGTTACAGTGAGGGGTGGAGAGAAGGATGATGAGGGAAGTTCAGGGATATGTAACACATGACATTTTGGAAATGTCTCCGGCACAAAGAGCACAGCAGATAACACATTCGCCACACCAAGGACATGAGACTCAGATATAAGAGAGGGCTGGTTGTTTATCACCGCAGACTGGAGCACACCCTTGCCACCAATTTGCTGCCCCTCCTAAACTGCCTTAGGAGGATTATTTTGACAAAATCCTCACTGTATCTGAAATCAGACCGGTTCCACTGCATGATTGGGAACAAAGATGCTTTCATGCAATGCTGTGAGGAGGAGGTTTGGACCACTTGGCTTTCTTTTTTATCACATACATTCAAATGTTTACGGCTTTTTCTGTTGGGCCTTCCAGAAGTAATTTAAAGGAAACAGATATCATTTTGTTGGTTTCATCACTTTCCAAGATTGAGAGCAGTGAGATGCAGCGTAGCATACACTTAGAATATTTAATAGACTTTAGGTAATAATAAGAACAAGTTAGACACATTTGACAATGTCTTTTTGTAATACTTTCAGCATTTGACTATTGACATTTTGACGCTGAAATCTGTCAGAGACCAGAGGAGGATCCAGAACCAGCAGAGCCTCCATCCTGATCCAGCTTGGTCCATTACATTTTAGCAGCAACCTTTCTCCGACCCTCCAATCCCTTTGAGTGTGTGTTGGTCGTGATGTGGGGAAAAAACAGGAAGTCAAATCATTTCTTTGTTTGAGGTCAAACTAAAAACTAGTTTGTTTTTATTTGTCTATATTTCTTCAACCACTCACATGCACACACACACACACACACACACTCATGTTACTCTACAAATCAGGGGTCTTCAACGTCATTCAGAACCCCTTTTCGGGAAGCGAGTGTTCACTATCAAGGAAAATATAAATATACAAGATTTGATTATTTCTTATCCTTTAAATCAATCAACTGTGTAATAACACATACGTTAAATACTTTAACCCTTAATTTACACATGTGGAATGGATTTCACAAAGATTATATCAATAAATATAAAGGGAACAGCGGGTCCAGGTCGCTCTGGTAAGCTGAGAGGAGTGTCTCTATGGAGTTGCAGGTTTGATTCCCTCCCAATCTCACCAGGTGAATCAGCATCTGGATGTGGAATGCCGCCCCGTTCAACCCAGGCCTTCAGAGCCTCAGGCGACATGTGCCCCTCGCTCAGTTCTTCAGCCTGGTGAGGGCGGCGCTCATCTGGCCTTCACTCCGATCAATTTTGCCCCTCAGATCGTCTTTTTCCTTAGCGACAAGAATGCAATATAAGAGGCAGTTGACGATCAGATTGGACATCTCCAGCTCCTCAGCAAACACACACCGCAGAGCTTCCTTTGTGCTGTCTTCTGGTGGACTGGAGGGACAGGTGTCGATGTACAGGGCAATGCCCAGCGCTCCAAGGCCTGTCACTTCAGGACCTGACCTCACTTTGACCACCACACTCATCATGTCCCTGACGTACCATCCCCCATCGTCTGCTTGCATTTTCCGCTTTTCGTAGAGTTGTTAGACCCTCATCGCGGAGCAGCAGAGCCTTATTATACATCCATGAGCAGAGCCGACAGGCAGGAAGACTCGAGCACACAGCTCGCGCTTCATTATAATATATAAAAAAAGAACACCATGCGTGTCATGATGGCACATAACAGCTCACGGCCGCAGATTACTCCGGGTCCCAGACCCCCCCCCCCCCCCCCCCCCCCCCCCCCATACCCCAAAAATATTTTTATTGCAGATCTACATGAATCACACAAACGACCTATTTTGGATTCAAAACGGCGAATTTCGCCGAAAGGTGACAAGTTTGCATCCCTGTAAAAGACTGCGCACATTCAAGTGGATGAATCCCAACCCAGACCTAGATTTAAAATCAGCATGAGTAGTGATCTGACTACTACTGCTGGGCGGACCAGGATTAGGTTGTACATTTCCAGATAGCAATAATAACAAAAAAAACAGGCATCTTTTTCTCTTAAAAGCCACACCTAAATTGTCATCTACTTTAAAATCACCAGCAAGGTGAAAGTGTGATTTGAGCTCAAGAAACAGTCCTGAAGAACCATCATGGCAGGCAAGCGAAAAAGACAACATTGTTTGCCGAACTGATTGACTGAGACAAGGCAACTGCACTCTAAAAACGAATTCAGGCGACCTTTCACCTCCACTTAATTAAATGCATGGTTGCAAGATAAAAATGTGAGTTAATTGATTTAGATAAACATTTTAAGTTGCAAACATTAATTTATAAGTTGTGTTGCCGTAATAATGTTGGTAATTACATCAACTTAATATTGTGTGTAATTTGAACTCTGATTTCTGCGTTAATTGACTTAAAACTAAATTCAAGTTGTAGTAAGTAATGCAATTGGCTTGATAACTTAATTGTTCTACACCTTGAGTTAAGGATTTCAAGTCCACTCCCACTTAACATGCCGGGACAAGTTCCGACAGTTAAGACAAATAGAAATATACAAAGGACATTTTAAGGTGAGTGTCATCTTTTGTCATTCAAATACAGTAGATTGCCTTGTAGTTGCACTGTATAGGCAAATTGCTGTTTGACCAAAACTAGCAGCCTTTGAACTGTGAATAGTTCTGTGAGAGGATACAAAGTAGTAGAGGCTACTGTGAGAGTACAAATACTTTGGTTACTTTGTGATATCGCTTTTGATTCAAAATGAATCTCGTGAAGCAGATCAAGGACATGCTTCTTGAGGTAGGATCGTTATTTAGAGTTATCATTGAAATGCAAGTTGTTGGCAGTCACCCATTCAGAATATATTCATTTAGGTCATTTCTCTTTTTTTCCTTTTTCAAAAATAGCACAATACAATTGAAGTACGCAGAGAACTATAGCCATCCGCTGCCTTGTCGTGTACCTTGGAGAAAAGGAAGAGGACCTTTTCAAGGAGTTTAGCGGCGTAATTAAAAAATTTGAAATAAAATAAAATCCACGGGCCCAGTGACACAGGACAAAAGCACTGCTCTCTGTCAGCTACATTCTGAAGCATATTGCACTTTTGGCCACACCCCAATCAATAATATCTTAGCAACGTTCAGCATGGATAGGTGTTGACAGCAATGGCATGGGAAAAGGATTGTGTAACATTTGAAAAGTGGCTTCTGCTCTTCACTTAACCAGTTCACATAGTGTATGGAACCTGGCCTGCTAAAAAGATGAGAAGATACACTAAAGCTTGCACGGTTGTAATTGACAAAATCTGTCCACATGCATTTAAACACTAGGCAAAGTACTCAAAAGCACCTCTGTGTGTCTTCAGGACCACATTGCCATGACGACACACACATGCAGACTCAATAGGTGAAAACAATACCAGCGTTGCTTTAGCAGCTGGTAATAATGGCTCTGAATTCGCTAAGAGTGACAGTTTAAAAAGAATGCAGTTACCTAATTCATTATCTCTGATGCGCTAACCTATTATTTAATGTGCTTCAAAAGGACATGAATATCGCCTTCATCAGTGACCGGTCCACCCCAGGGTCTGACCATACGATGGTAACCATCGTGGTCGAGGGAAACAAATGAATGAGCATTCATTCTGCGTTAAATGTATTCATACTGTTTGAAATAATGACTGTCGGCAGTGCAAACATCTTTGTTACATCTTTTGTGAAATGGATGTGTGTGATCTGCAGATTGGTGGCCATTGAGAGTTTGTTTCTGTAGTTTTACAAAAACTTTACAGATTTGACATATTTGGCACTGGTTTTAAATATGCAAAGGCCTCTAACTTCGATGTGATGGCAGCATGTATTTGCTGTGTCCCCATGTCCCATGGTAATATGGCTAATGTGTTTATTTATTATTTGTGGGGCAATTTCAATATGTGTTATTTATCTTTTTTTTCAAGATTTAAATGAAGCTCAGCGCAAGTTCTTTCAGGAAGACTGGGTGTATATATATTCACTCCGCAGCTGCATATAACCAGCTCATCACAGTTCTCTTTAACCTATTACATTTCACCTCATTCTCCAGCAGCCAATCAACGAGCTGCAGCCAAACTATAAAATGGTTCTCCTCTCTCCTGCAGTCAGCTGTGATTTCAGGTGTTCATGCACCTTATCATATGGCATGTGTCAATACATGTTCAAACTAAATGAATTCTCTCCTGATTGAAACATCATGTGTTGAAATAAACAACTGCAGTTCAAAATAAAAAGTGAATTGCCTAATATTCTTGTTGTGAAATCAATTAATTTCTTTCTTTAAAGGCAAAAACATGAAAAAGCTAAGAAAAAAAACTATTGAATACAATATATTTGGAGCAACTTCATTTATAAATGGTTGTCAGCTTAAAAACGTGTGTTCACAATGATGGTAATTAAGTACATACAACTTCAAATTATTTTTAAATCATGTGGTAAAACTAGTCGGAACAACTTAATCTTTTGAGTAATCAACGTCAAAACTTGTGTTTATGCTACCAATTATTAAGTAAGTGGTAATTAAAAACACCTCTGATTGTAGAGGAAAAGCCTTCTCCCCTAACTCAAATAACTTTGTTGCTTTAAGACAATTTCATTAGAAGTTGTCTTAACTCAATAAACATCGATGCAAACTGTTGCGTTGATTTTCTTTGTTGAGCCAAGGCATTTGTTTTTAGAGTGTGGAAATCGTTCGCGAAACACAACCCATCCTTTGCAGGGGATGCCCACAGCGGGCGGCAGAACAGACCTGAATCCAATCGACTTCTCAGGATGACGAGAAAACTTCTCACTGTCCAAAACAGCCAACAGGCACAGCAGAATCACGATAAGGGCCATTTCCCCAGACCAGCACAGCATCTGTGATGTTTTTGGGGCAAATCCTCCTCAGCACAGCAGCACACGACAGGTGGAAGCAGGCCCCAGCCCGAACGTGGAGGCGCTCCGGTCTCTCCGCGATGTCCCAGGGGTAATTCCTCCTCAGCACAGCAGCACACGACAGGTGGAAGCAGGCCCCAGCCCGAACGTGGAGGCGCTCCGGTCTCTCCGCGATGTCCCAGGGGTAATTCCTCCTCAGCACAGCAGCACACGACAGGTGGAAGCAGGCCTCCGCTAAGCAGAAACTGACAGGTGGAAAGCAGGCCCCAGCCCGAACGTGGAGACGCTCCGTCTCGCCGCGATGTCCCCGGGTTAAAATCTCCTCAGCACAGCAGCACATGACAGGTGGAAGCAGGTCTCCGCTGCAGCAGAAACAGGACAGGTGGAAAGCAGGCCCCAGCCCGAACGTGGAGACGCTCCGTCTCTCCACGACGTCTCTGGGGCAAAATCCTCCTCACCACAGCAGCACAGTACAGGTGGACGCAGGCCTCCGCTACAGCAGTACAAGACAGGAAGAAAGCAAGCCCCAGCCCGAACGCGGAGAACGTTCAGGCCACTCCGCAATGCCCTCGGTGCAAATCCTCCTTTCCACGCCGGCGGAAGAGAGGCAGCCCTGCCCCTCACTTTCCACGCTCCGTGAGGCGGATGAGTAAAAGCACTGCCAGGTGAGGCGCTCCTGCTCTGATCGACCCTCCTGCTCTGATCGACGCTCCTGCTCTGATCTACAATATATAGTTAGATTCCACCTTCATGACATAGGAGGTGGAATAGGGAGTGCATTGTTTTACCGTGAGTACATTTGTAAGTAAAGTAAGTTTTGCCGTGAGTGAATGAAAGTCTTATTTCTTCTTGAGGTCTGCAGTGAAGCGTGTACACATTTGCTGAATATGAAAACACTCTCAGTGTGTGCCCACTGTGCGACTGTCAAGTATAAACAACCTGTGGCCGCCGAGCCAGTCATGTGGATGTCAGTTTTACACACATTCTGAGGCCGCCTTGCCTATGTTTTTGTTTTCACTGATAGTTTATGCTTATATTTAATTAGTGCATTAATAAATAAATAAAATCATTAATGAAGTTTCAGCTCAGATTAATAAGCTTAATAAGTCTCCCCCTGGCCCACCTACATTTGTCCAGGCCTACCCACACAATAATTCCTGGCTACGCCAATGTGTGTGACACTGGTATTTGTTTTCAGAAGAATGTCGTGACGTCCATTCCAGTAGCCTACTGCGGTCAAACTCAGCCGTCTCTCACGTTTGCTTGGTCAAATGAGCAGCTCTTCATTTTTGAGTGAAAGCGATTTATCGCGCCTTTACGGTAATCGCCAAGAAGCAGCACTGAAGCTACAAGAGTAAAATAATGCATGTTTTTTATGCTTTATTTGCAATACAAATAATTTGTACCATAAGTACTTAATAAAACTGACACTGTTTGACTCAGTCCTAGTTTGACTGCTACCAACAATAAAATGAAGTACTTTTACTGTGTACTTTTTGGGTAATACTCTGTCAAACTCCCCTCCTGACTACAATAATGCATGTATTCTGCTATTTGATGAGGGATACAATTATTTTTTGCCATAAGTTTTTAGTGAAATTGATACTGTTGGACTCAGTACTACTTGGACTACTCCCATAAGTACAATCAAGTACTTTTACTTTGTACTTTTTGATTAATACTCGGTCAAACTCCCGTCCTGAGTACAATCATTAATGTATTGTACTCTATGAACTATGTTTTATCAGAGCAGGAGTTTAACCGAGTATTACTCAATAAGTACAGAGCTGAGCAGAGCACAAACACACACGTCATGCACCTTGTGGACCGGACATCTCCTTCATAAAACGAGTAATAGGGGGAATAATCGGGCAGTTCGATGTGTGTAGAGGTGTGTGTGGTTAAAACGTAGCAGCCTGCAGTTGCTCTTTAGCTGTTCTAATGAAGGTAAACACAGTGAAGGTACAGCTCCACTTCCTACCTGGCGAAACGGTAACTTTCTCGTGCGCTCCAGCACGTATCTCTTGCGCACGAGAAAGTATATCGTGATGAGCAAAACCGTGTCACTTGGCCCAGGTGGTTTCCACAGAACGGACAAAACATGTTTAACGACCATAAACACACTCGTACCGTCCATAGGTACCGGCGGTCTATCCGCCAAAACAAACTTAAGTTTGTGTCAATCACTTGCACGTCACTTCTGGTATGATGGACATTACCTTTCCGGTTTGATTATCTAGTTTGTTAAAGTGTTTCGAGAAATGTTAAAGTGTTTAGAGACTTGTACATTTGTCTCATTTCTTGTAAAAGTGTTTCGCTAATGTAATTTCGTTTTATAAAATATAATTTTGTTTTTATAAAATGTAATTTTGTTTTATAAAATGTAAATTTGTCTCTAGCTTTGTAAAAGTGTTTCGAATCTTGTTAATTTGTTTTTGTTAATGTTAAATAGTTTTTTCTTTGGTAAAAGTGTTTTGCTAATGTAAATTTGTTTTATAAAATGTAAATTTGTCTCAAGCTTTGTTAAAGTGTTTCACACTTTGTAATTGTCGTTTGCACTTCTCACCACCGTAAGTTACACTCTCATCGTGACCTCGGACCTGCAACTCCTGCGTGCCCAAGTACACCACACAATTTATGAGGCGTTTCAAAATTCCTCTGTTCCCCTTCACCTTCCCATTATGAGCGATGACATCCCGGCGTTGTTGCTCATCCAGCTGGAGCTCTATCCTGGTGTCCCCAAATGTTTTAAGGTGAATAGTAGCTCTGAGGTGACCTGAAGCATTCTGATGGCGATGTGCTGATTTGGATAAACTTCCTAAATCAGAATATCCATCTCTGGCCCATGACCCACTGTCCGCGCCAAAAAGCAAGCAATCCCAGCAGTAAAGCTTTTGTTCCCTGGTTGATCCGGTCATTCAGTTGTATCTGGCGTAATTGCAGATATTAAAATGCCTCTCGAACCGTTAAATTAAGCTGTGGTGTTGGTCGGCCTTTGGTAATTAACTCAATCTTGAAAATGACTCGGTTAATAATTTTGCAACGATGTCATCACTATCACTGACGTGAGCCATCATGAACGAATTTATGCTAATTAGCTTCTTCCCCCTAGCTTGAACCGTTGTTATAACACATGTATACACTTGACAGCGGGCGGAACTTGTCATAAAGTCCGCGATAATAAAGCCCACCCATTTAGAGGGAACATTGTATGTCATTTGACATTACTCTCTCGTTGAGTTACCATAGCTGGGCCCTCGGTGAATTTACAGCTGGACCACCAATCAAGCCCCCAGGAAGTGCGCCGGAGTCTGATGAAAATATTCGTGGTGGCCAAACGGCAGTACTACACTTCCTTTAGGTTGCTGGGCCCGGAATCACTTTTTCCCATTGACTTACATTGGGAAAGAGTGGTCTGTAACTCGTTGGATAATTTTTGTTAAACTAAATAAACTACCCAGTATGAACACTTGTATAGCCCTTATTAAAAACATTCGTTCCTCAAGTTGTAAAATGTGCTAATAACGTTATTCTGAGAGTTATTTCCCTCGGCATTATGAACACGCATCTAACCCACGGGACCGTGCTGCCCGGCACGTTCATGTTACGTGTTCAGCACTACATGCGTTTATCTTTACCCATGGATGCACAATAACAACGGACCATATCGCCTTACTGCCATCCCACGGAGCTGTAATAATGGATATATTGCACATGTTTGCTGTAATTCATCATTTGTAAAATATTATACTACATGGGCTGTATGATGTAAATCTTGTACCGTAAATGTTGTATTAAATAAAGTTAATATTACCAACGTAGATTAACGTTCCTGTAGCTTCTTATTGCACTTGCAATATACCATTAAAAGAGTTGAACGTAGCTGTTTGCTATTTGGCCGACTATATATTAAGTCGTCATATTTATACATATATCAATAAAGATATGTGTCAAAGCTCTAATCAAATTAACAGTTGTATTAATTATAATTATATATATATATATATATATATATATATGTATATTGCCTGTGTTGTATATGTATACACACAAATGAACAACCTTGTGTTTTTTCAAAAGTTTTACAAGTTGTATTGTAGTGTTTATTTTAGTGTTGTTTTATTCTTATCCACATTTTGATTTCAGAGCACAGGACAGGAGAGTGCTGGGCACAACATCACGCTCAACAGTGAAGCTGGCAATGCTGAATAAAACCAGTTATAATATTTATTCCGCTGAAAAAGTGAAAGCTTTACGAAAATGTAATTAAAAATACATAAGCATTTCAGGTAGAAATTAGCATTTTATATAGAAATTCATAAATATAAGAAATGAAACCTAAAAGAGATGTTAACAAATGTATACCTCTGATGGCTGGCATGTAGAACTAGGTGAACAAAATAGTGACAACATTTTTTAATACAATTCATATAGATTAAAAGGTAATAAAATATTGATTACAATTATTCTATTAAAAAATCCACCAAACATTATCAACAGGAAAGCCCTCTGAAGGCATGTTATGGTTTGAAAAAAGTTGAGGATGGGGTCCAGACAGTTCAATCAGGAGAGACTTCATTTTGTTCAAAGAACATTTATTGACACATGTCATATGATAAATGTTAAGTCTTTGGCGATTAGACCCCGATCCTGAAATCGTATATCTAAGAGGGGAAATGCAGCCGTGAGCATATAGGGAAACCCCCGGGGTCTAGACACTGGTGATAATGCTGAAGATCTGGATTTGATGAGGAGATGGGATGAAGAGGAGGTGTGATGAGGTCTTTGGATTAGCTCTCCTGGTACTGGATATGATGGAAGGAGGTGGATGGGGGGGAGGCGGGCGGCAGCATGAACACCTGGAATCACAGCTGACTGCAGGAGAGAGGAGAACCATTTCAAAAAATGTAATAATGTCAGCAAGACATGAACATATATAACCACTATCTATCATTCAATTCTGTAATTGCAGGTTTGTTAGCATGATATTTCAAACATAAATGGCCAGTTCTTATTATACATCCATGGACTGGAGCTATTGGAGCTACAACGAGCCGTTAAAGGCAGAGAGTGAAATTCAGTGAATACACGTTATAGAGATGCTGTATGAGAAACCAATGTGAGTTGCGTTTATCTTTACCCATGGATGCACAATAAGAACGGACCCATAACGTCTTACTGCCATCCCACGGAGCTGTAATAATGGATATAGGCTATTGCACATGTTTGCTGTAATTGCATATAATTCATTATTATACTACATGGGCTGTATGATTAAAGCTTGTAGCCTACCGTTAATAGCCTATTACCGACGTTAGATTAACGTCCCTGTAGCTTTGTATTGCACTAAGAAGCTTATTGCACTATATATATATATATACAGTACAATAATTATTTCATGCTAAATGAAGCTCTGTTGCTTGGATATCACTAGATCCTGTTACAGCGTATAAGTAGGCCTACATTTCATTTCATTTCAAACCTTTATTTAACCAGATTGGTCCCATTGAGATCATAGATCTCTTTTTCAAGGGAGACCTGCAGCATATAGGTTCCACATGAAACATAAAACAATAAAGGACATCATACATTATATTTACAGGATACATTTACATAGTTAGACATTTACAAGTGGCCATAGTATCAACAAGCATTTCATTTAGCCTAGCTTTAAAAACATGCAGAGGAATGAGATTGCTCAGTTTCAATTCTTGCTGAAGATTGTTCCAAGCAAGTGGAGCTGCGCACATAAAAGCTGTCTTACCTAAGACAGTCCTTGCTCTTGGCACACCTAACAATACTACATCATGCGATCTCAGACAATAGCTGCTTGCAACTCTCTGTGTTATCAGAGAGCAGATATAATACGGGAGTTTACCCAACAAAGCTTTATAAATAAACGTGTACCAATGACTGAGCCTCTTTACAGTAAGTGATGGCAGACCTGCCTTGGCATACAGGGTACAGTGATGTGTAAGTGCTTTACAATTTGTGACAAATCTCAGTGCGCTGTGATAGGCGGCATCTAACTTGTTCAGGCAATAGGCAGGTGCATTCATATACAACAAATCACCATAGTCCAGCACAGGTAAAAAGGTCACAGTGACTAGCCTTTTCCTGGCTTCAAAAGAGAAACAGGACTTGTTTCTGAAAAAGAAACCTAGCCTAACCCTCAGCTTTTTAAGCAGGTTATTGACATGAAGTTTAAAACTAAGACAATCATCAAGCCAGATACCTAGGTATTTATAACTGGTAACCACTTCTAGTACTTGTCCTTGCATAGTAACAATATCCAAAACAGGCTCTGGTGTCTTTTTAGCTTTAGAAAAGAGCATTACCTTGGTTTTATCAACATTTAAAATAAGCTTAAGTTCAGCAAGCTGAGTCTGAATAATGTTAAAAACAGCCTGTAATTTAACACCAGCCTCCTGAATGGAGGGACCTGCACAGTACATCACGGTATCATCAGCATACAAATGTAAAGTAGCTTCATCCACATTTTCACCTAAACTGTTGATATATATGGAGAATAAAAGTGGACCTAAAACAGAACCTTGAGGAACACCATTAGCAATGTTTAACCACTCAGAAGACAGCCCATCAAAGTGAACACATTGGGACCTTTCAGAGAGGTAGTTCACAAACCACCCCACTGCATGGCTGGATATGCCGATACTGAGTAGCCTCTGCTTTAAAATGCGATGATCGACGGTATCAAACGCTTTGGAAAGGTCAATAAATAGAGCTGCACAACTCTGCTTATTGTCTAAAATACTCGTAATGTCATTCACCACTTTCATTGTGGCAGTGAAGGTGCTATGTTGCTTTCTGAAGCCTGACTGATGTTTAGACAGGATATCATTTGTACATAAAAACTCCTTTACCTGTTCACTCACTAGGCGTTCGAGCACCTTCGCCAGAACTGACAATTTAGAGATTGGCCTATAGTTATTTAAAATAGTTGCCTCCCCTCCTTTTAGCAAAGGCAAGACATAAGCTGACTTCCATACTTTTGGAATTGCATTTGTGCTGAGGGAGAGGTTAAAAAGAGTAGTAAGAGGAAGAGCAATACAATCTGCAGCTATCTTTAAAAAGAAAGGTTCTACGTTGTCCGGGCCAGCCGGTTTCTTAGGATCTAGCTTAGATAAGGCTTCATGAACAACATTGACAGTAAAAGGAGTAAAACTGAAAGGGTTTTCCAGACCACATTGTTCAGAGTCACGGATTGGGGTGTTCACAGAAGCAGAGTTAGTCACAGAATCAAACATAGAACCGCAGGACACAAAATGCTCATTAAAGCAATTTAGCATAGTAGCCCTGTCCGATATAGTGCCAGATGCTGTGGTAAGGCACGGAGGTAGCTCATTACGGATCTCACTGGTGGATATCGATTTTATTGCTTTCCAAAATTTCCTAGGATTATTTAGGTTTTCTGTGGTAACTGACAAATAGTACTTCGACTTTGCACTTTTGACATTTGAAGTGAAGCTATTCCTTAGCTGCCTAAAACGCAGCCACTCTACCTCTGAGCCTGATTGCCTAGCCTTTGCCCAGGCCTTGTTTCTCTCATGAAGGAGACTAGACAGCTCAGCAGAAAACCAAGGATTGTCTCGTCCCTTTACTCAAAATTTTCGCAGGGGTACATGTCTATCAATGATCTCCATAAAACCAAGATAAAAATAAGACCATGCGGTTTCCACATCAGCACACAGATCGATTTTACCCCAATCAAAATCAAACAGATCATGCACAAAACCCTGCTCAACAAAATGTTTTTTGTCTCTCTTAATGATAATGCGAGGTTTAACCTTTTGGACCTTAGTGTCCCTAATTGTGGCTACAACACAGTGATCGCTCAGATCATTTGCAAATACTCCCACAGATGAATATTTATGGGGAACATTAGTTAAAATGAGATCAATTAGGGAGGATTTATTAGGGGACTTAATATTTGGGCGAGTAGGACTGTCAACAATCTGAGTAACATTCAAAGAGATACAAAGGTTTTTTAAATCCTCTGACACTGCAGTTAACCAGTCCCAGTTAAAATCTCCAAGTAGCACTATTTCCTTATAGTCTAGTTGTGATAAAAGATTTGCTAGTGAAGACAAGGAGTCTTTGACAGCTGAGGGGGGTCTGTAACAACTCACTACCATGACCTGTTGACCCTTTGCCACTTCTATATTTATGGCTAAACATTCAAATTGCTTACTGATCGATTTGGAAACTAATGTGGTTACACTGAACTTATTCTTAACATAAATGGCAACGCCACCACCTTTATTAGGCCGGTCGGTACGATACACATTAAAACCATTTAAGGCCATGTCAGAGGCCAAAATAGACTTGTTTAGCCATGTTTCTGATAAGACAATGACGTCAGCGTCAGTCGATTTTGCCCAGATACGGACAAAATCTAGTTTACCTAACAGACTGCGCACATTCAAGTGGATGAAACCCAACCCAGACCTAGCTTTAAAATCAGCAGGAGTAGCGATCTGACTACTACTACTGGGCGGACCAGGGTTAGGTTGTACATTTCCTGACAGTAATAACAACAACAAAAACCAGGCATCTTTTCCTCTTAAACGACACAAATACATTGTCATCTAATTTAGAAACACCGGGAAAGTCTGCGATTAGAGCTTAAGAAGCAGTCCGGAAGAACCATCATCGCAGGAAAATAAAAAAGACAAACATATTTTGTCGAGCAGATTGACTGTGACAAGGCAACCGGTAATTGTTTGAGCAACACATCCGAACCTTTGCAGGGGATGCCCACTGCGGGTGGCAGAACAGACCTGAATCTCGTAGTCTTCTCAGAATGACTAGAGATCTTCTCATAGTCCAAAACAGTTAACAGGCACAGCAGAATCCCGATATGGGCCATTTTCCCAGACCAGCACACAGTATCCGCGATGTTCCTGGAGCAAAATCAGCACAGCAGCAAAGGACAGGCGAAAACAGCAGTGTGTCTCTTCGCGACGAGCAGGCCTCCGTAAATCGCAGATCGCATGCAGCAACAGGTGGAGCCGCTCCGTCTCTTCGCGATGAGCAGGCCTCCGTACATCGCAGATCGCATGCAGCAACAGGTGGAGCCGCTCCGTCTCTTCGCGACGTCTCCGGAGGAAAAACACCTCAGTACAGCCGCACTCGACAGGTGAGAGTAGACCTCCGCAGATCGCAGACAACTAAAACTACTACTTGTATAAGCAGGTTTGGCTAAAAGTTTGTAAGCAGGAGAGCTAGATGCTGCTAAATGCTAACAGATGCTAACAGATGCCAGATAATAACAGGTAAGTGCGAGCCTGTAGAAATTGCGACGATTGATACATAACGATTGATGTGCACATTAGCATAATTACTAGCTAGCCGCTAGCTGCTAACTGCCGCCTCGTTAATATCAAATCCATCATAATAACAAATCATTACCATGCTGTCATGAACGCGCGGTTCTGTAACTTACGTGTACGCAAATTGTCGTGCTTGATGTGAACGAGCATTTTGGTTAAAATTGCGCATGCGCTATGAGCGCACATACGGGTTGCGTTCCAATAATCCAAAAATCAGCTCCTAAATTCTAACACTATCTCCTATTCCTTGACCTCTGAGTGAAACGTCACGGGGTTAAGGGATAGTGGATAGGAGAATTCAAAAGGACTTAGGAGAAGAGACTGCGGTACTTTAGAGAATCCGAATGCACTTTCACTATCCGACGTGTTTATGATGCGCCAGCGGACGTCATAAATGTGCGTCTGCTGCTGTGGGGAAACTATGGAAACTACAGTTTTCTATACAGCGGACTACAACATGGATGTATAATAAGAACGAGGGACTACTGTAAACTCATCTAGAGACTCTGCACCGTGCTCTGATGCTGTTGCTTTATGCTTTATGAACGTGGACAACAGAGAAACATATTCTTCATGACCAAAGTTGGAATTGAAATAAAAAAGGAAAGTGAAACTTATGCTAGTCACCCTCTCCCTCCGGTCCACATTTATACAAATGGTCCCAATACGTATGATTGTATGAACTATGAAAATATCTTAAAATCAATACAAATGTATTTATTATAAACGTTAGTCCTTAACATCTATCACTGTGTATATCACCATTCAAACATCTTTTAAAAGTTGAACAACCCCACACAGCTCAGTAAAGACTGTGAGATGTTGACTTTATTTGATCATTTCAGTAAAAACTAACGTTCATATTTCTCTTTTTGATTATAATACTGATGAACGTTCAGAACAAAGCACTTTGGCAACTTACCACATATGTTTTAAAATGCTTAATAAGCACCGTAACGTTCATGATATAATTTCTCGGTCATAATCAGTTATTTCCGTGAACGGCCGACTGTTGAGTGACGGCAAATGCTGCGGCTGCAATGCATTGTGGGGCAGCATTTTCTCCTCTCCTTTCGTCAAGGGAGGTCCAGGTAGCGTTCCAATAGTCCATTTAGCTTAGGAACCTTCCTAACCAAGTGAAATGACCCGGAAGTCCCTCAGTGGCAGCCATGATAAGTGCCGTTCCAATTCTCTAAATGAAAGGAAAGGAGGTTTTAAACTTCCTTTATAACCTCCTTTAGCTTAGGAACCACTGGACCTCCCTAACCGAAAGGAGAGGAGAAAATGCTGCCCCACAATGCATTGCAGCCGCAGCATTTGCCGTCACTCGCACAACGGCACGTCCATTAATACAGATACTGATACAGATTTCAGTATTCTGAGCCCCTACTCTCCCCATAACTGACGGCAACAAAAGTCCTACATTATTCAATTAAAATAAAGAAGTAAAAACAATAAGTGTGGCTTGATATTGAGTAAGACAAAGGTTGATAAACGCAGTGAGAATGGATCTGCGGGTAGCATTCGCTCGCGATCTCAAGTCGTCTCCAACATACGTTTAGGGAGCTACAGTGGGGCAAAAAAGTATTTAGTCAGCCACCAATTGTGCAAGTTCTCCCACTTAAAAAGATGAGAGAGGCCTGTAATTTTCATCCTAGATACACTTAAACTATGAGAGACAGAATGGGGGGAAAGAATCCAGGAAATCACATTGTAGGATTTTTAATGAATTAATTGGTAAATTCCTCGGTAAAATAAGTATTTTATCACCTACAAACAAACAAGATTTCTGGCTCTCACAGACCTGTAACTTCTTCTTTAAGAGCCTCCTCTGTCCTCCACTTGTTAATTAATGGCACCTGTTTGAACTCGTTATCAGTATAAAAGACACCTGTCCACAACCTCAAACAGTCACACTCCAAACTCCACTATGGCCAAGACCAAAGAGCTGTCAAAGGACACCAGAAACAAAATTGTAGACCTGCACCAGGCTGGGAAGACTGAATCTGCAATAGGTAAGCAGCTTGGTGTGAAGAAATCAACTGTGGGAGCAATTATTAGAAAATGGAAGACATACAAGACCACTGATAATCTCCCTCGATATGGGGCTCCACGCAAGATTTCACCCCGTGGGGTCAAAATGATCACAAGAACGGTGAGCAAAAATCTCAGAACCACATGGGGGGACCTAGTCAATGACCTGCAGAGAGCTGGGACCAAAGTAACAAAGGCTACCATCAGTAACACACTACGCCACCAGGGACTCAAATCCTGCAGTGCCAGACGTGTCCCCCTGCTTAAGCCAGGCCCGTCTGAAGTTTGCTAGAGACCATTTAGATGATCCAGAAGAGGATTTGGAGAATGTCATATTGTCAGATGAAACCAAAATAGAACTTTTTGGTAAAAACTCAACTAGACGTGTTTGGAGGAGAAAGAATGCTGAGTTGTATCCAAAGAACACCATACCTACTGTGAAACATGGGGGTGGAAACATCATGCTTTGGGGCTGTTTTTCTGCAAAGGGACCAGGACGACTGATCCGTGTAAAGGAAAGAATGAATGGGGCCATGTATCGTGAGATTTTGAGTGACAACCTCCTCCCATCAGCAAGGGCATTGAAGATGAAACGTGGTTGGGTGTTTCAGCATGACAATGATCCCAAACACACCGCCCGGGCAACGAAGGAGTGGCTTCGTAAGAAGCATTTCAAGGTCCTGGAGTGGCCTAGCCAGTCTCCAGATCTCAACCCCATAGAAAATCTTTGGAGGGAGTTGAAAGTCCGTGTTGCCCAGCGACAGCCCCAAAACATCACTGCTCTAGAGGAGATCTGCATGGAGGAATGGGCCAAAATACCAGCAACAGTGCGTGAAAACCTTGTGAAGATTTACAGAAAACGTTTGACCTCTGTCATTGCCAACAAAGGGTATATAACAAAGTATTGAGATTAACTTCTGTTATTGACCAAATACTTATTTTCCACCATCATTTGCAAATAAATTCTTTAAAAATCAGACAATGTGATTTTCTGGATTTTTTTTTCCTCATTTTGTCTCTCATAGTTGAGGTATACCTAGGATGAAAATTACAGGCCTCTCTCATCTTTTTAAGTGGGATAACTTGCACAATTGGTGGCTGACTAAATACTTTTTTGCCCCACTGTATATAGAAGCCTATATGGACATCCCAGAAAGTTGAAAATGTACGCTAAGGGCCCACCCCTTGCGTTGGAAAAAGCCGACACAGGGGACTTGACATAACGTCAACATAGGCCGACCAGGGAGTGAGGATGTGTTGCATAAACACGTCGGATAGTGAAAGTGCATTCGGATTCTCTAAAGTACCGCAGTCTCTTCTCCTAAGTCCTTTTGAATTCTCCTATCCACTATCCCTTACCCCCGTGACGTTTCACTCAGAGGTCAAGGAATAGGAGATAGGGTTATAATTTAGGAGCTGATTTTTGGATTATCGGAACGCAACCCCAGTCTAAGCTAAAGGAGGTTATAAAGGAAGTTTGAAACCTCCTTTCCTTTCATTTAGAGAATTGGAACGGCACTTATCATGGCTGCCACTGACGTACTTCCGGGTCATTTCACTTGGTTAGGAAGGTTCCTAAGCTAAATGGACTATTGGAACGCAACCACGGGCATTTCTCAGGCATACCGGGTAATCTGTGACGTTTCTCGAGCTGGTTTCTCCAAAATTACATACCGGTGGGGTAGGTACATTTCAGAAACCAGCTCGAGTGCACTAAAATTTGAAAGTACACAGCCGAAAAGAATCTGCCCCTTCCTTCAGACTTCCTCACAGAGCACCTCCTCCAACACACATGAACGCGCACATGACGTCAGCAGACTGGTGAAAGTGGCCGCCTGTTGCTGGCGAGTCATTGGCCCGGTCTCAGGTCGGTTAAATTAAATCCTTGCTTCCCTCACTTGCGTCGTTTCCCTGCGTCTAGTCCCTCCCACCAGGGAAGCATGGAGGGACGCAAGGAAACCACGAGAAGCAGGGAAATTAGTTTTAAGAGCAATGGGACGTCCTTTCCTCCGGAGTGTCACGTGAAGCGACGTCTGTTTGTGACGACGCCGCACAGCTGATCGTCTGACAGCAGCTCTGTCCCCGTTATTTCCACACACACCCCCGCCTCTGTTAGTACACATTTACTGACACAAACATTTGTATCATCTGTTGCAGACCCCAATAAATAAAATAAAATAAGAACTCATTCTCAAAAAAGATAAACGCCATTCTTAAAATGTATAAACGAACAATAGTTTGATTAATATTGATTAGAGTGCACAATAGAAATAAAATAATTGAGAGAAGAAAAAGAGATATGTTATCTATCAAAACCCAGTTAGATTAACATTCATTGGATTGCACACTTTGTGTGTATGTGGATATGTAGCACATTAACATTTTAATAGCACTTAATGACTGACTGAATGGAAATGATAATAAATGAAAATGTAAAACGAAAAAAGCGATCATGAAAATTAAAATGAATAAAATGATTTTTGACCACTTTGTTGTTTAGATATATCACATATTTGTAACTAAATGATGCATGAATTGAAACAAAACACAGTATAAACTGAGGAGTGACTCGTGAGTTTCATTTATTTTCTTCACTCCGCTGGGAAACTGCTCTCATGTCAAGAAGCATGAGATCAGTGCATGCACTGCATCGTCCAATCAGTGAGCGATACACAGTAAGGGGGCGGGGCGAGTATCTGAGGATTTCATCGGAGGATGGACTGGTGGTTCCTCGATTTTCGCTCCTCCATTATCGCTCCTCGGTCCTCCGGCAGAAATAAGAGCCATGGATGTATAATAAGAACTGGATACAGCGTGGGAGGCGGGGCCTCATTCATTCCTATGAGAGTTGCTCATTAGCACATGATGATAAAATGGCCCAACTTTGAAACGTGAAAAGAGAGTAAAACGTCACAGATTACCCGGCATGCCTGAGAAGTACCCGTATGTGCGCTCATAGCGCATGCGCAACTTTAACCAAAATGCTCGTTCACATCAAGCACGTCAATTTGCGTACACGTAACAGCACCGCGCGTTCATGACAGCATGGTAATGGGTTGTTGTTATCATGGATTTGATATTAACGAGGCGGCAGTTAGCAGCTAGCGGCTAGCTAGTAATGATGCTAATGTAGTAAATGTACACATCAATCGTTATGTACTTATATTACGTTGTAAGTTAGGATCTAGTGATATCCAAGCAACAGAGCTTAATTTAGCATGAAATAATTATTGCACATATATACAGTGCAATAAGCTTCTTAGTGCAATAATAAACTACAGGGACGTTAATCTAACGCAGGGTTGCCAACTCTCACGCATCTGGCGTGTGACATACGCTTTCACTCTCAATCTCACGCTCTCATGCTGCCCAAACTATTCTCACGCCAAAACAAGAATACCGAAGACTAGAAACGGTTTTGAAAACTGTTGTCACGCAGTGATCGTCTTCTCAATAGAACATCTTTGATAATGTCTTCTGGCCAATCAGAATCAAGATAACGGCGTGGTGTTGTTGCAGGAAGTCCCGACGGAGAATACTTTTGCTGTAGTACATCTCTATATACATCGATACAACATTACGTGTAGAAATCAACACGTAATGAAATAAGACCCCACGGTTTGATGATTGGTAGGTGTGTGGGCTGTCTTCCATTTTGACACACAGAACAATGGGGGCTATCCACCCTTATCCATTACAATGTAAAGTCATTCACACAGCCTCTTCCCTCTTCTCTCTGTGAGGAGCAGCAGGTTCAGCTTCATTTAAATATGTCGTGTAGTAATAGATGTCTTTTTTTATTTTCTCAAGAGAGTACCAGAATGTGTATTTTATGTTAGTATTTCAAAAAATCTCCTGGGGGAGAATCCCCCCAGACCCCCCTACAGGGATTGGGTTTTCAGCATGTCAACTCTTTCACTTGTGGGGAATTTGCAGGATTGGCTCCAGGTCGCCCTTTTTATTTACTACAAGACAAATGTGCCTTTTTATTTCATACAGTTCAATTTGGATTGAGACAAGGAAATAATCTAAACCTCACGCGTGGCGTTTCACTGTCAAGGCGAGCGTGTATGTAATTACATTGCAAATACTGACTTGAGCCCCACCACTGTATGGGTTAGCCCTACCATAGATATACCCAACAAAAACACTCTAAGTCAATTAATTGCTTATTGCGACAGGCACACAATAAAACAGTGGAAACAAAGATGTGTTTGACTTTCATTAGTGAATTAACCTGTGTGCCCTTTTCCCCTTTGTAGTCTGTGTCCAATATTGTGTATTTGTATATGTATATCCTATATGCTAAGGTCCCGCTACTGACACGATAGCAGTCATTTCGTGTGCAGATGTGTAATTAAACCCATGATATCAAAATCTCACTCCAGCCAGGTACCCAAAGTTGGCAACCCTGATCTAACGTCGGTAATATTAACTTTATTTAATACAACATTTACGGTACAAGATTTAATCATACAGCCCATGTAGTATACTATTTTACAAATGATGAATTACAGCAAACATGTGCAATATATCCATTATTACAGCTCCGTGGGATGGCAGTAAGGCGATATGGGTCCGTTGTTATTGTGCATCCATGGGTAAAGATGAACGCATGTGGCATGTAGTGCTGAACACGTAACATGAACGTGCAGGGGTTAGATGGTTAGATACAATTAGATGCGCGTTCATAATGCAGAGGGAAATAACTCTCAGAATAACGTTATTAGCACATTTTTACAACTTGAGGAACGAATGTTTTTAATAAGGGCTATACAAGTGTTCATACTGGGTAGTTTATTTCGTTTAAAAAAAATTATCCAACGATTTACAGACCACTCTTTCCCCATGTAAGTCAATGGGAAAAAGTGTTTCCGGGCCTGGCAACCAAACGGATGTGCAGTACCGCCGTTTGGCCACCACGAATATTTTCATCTGAGTCCGGTGCACTTCCTGGGGCTTGCATGGGACGGTACTCAAGATGGCGCAGACAAATCAACTTCCGGTGAGACCGAGGAGCGAGGAAATGAAAAATAAGAGAAGTGAGAAGGGCCCATTGAAGTACTGCTGCAATGCACGCCCAATGAGGGCACGAGATACATTTGTGCGTGCACGAGATGGAAGGCTGACAGACAAGGCGGCAATCCAATCCGTTTAGCCGGGCCGGCTAAACGGATACTTTTTACAGTATTACGGCTTCCACAGATGACATTTTTTTATGGATTTTTTGTCAAAGCAACATTCATTGCTATCGGATGTTAAGAGCATTCCATGGAATATAACAACAAGTGTATCTCGAGCCGGTTTCTCAAACGTACCTACCCCACCTTTAAGTAGGCTACAACATCCGAGTTACTTTTTTCCACCTCTGCGTATTTACTGCAATTCTGCGGTCTGCCAGCAGGCGGCGATACCGTTTATTCATAGAAAATACATCAGCCGCCATTTTCCCCTGAGCGGAAGGAGGAAGCGCAGAGGGAAAACATTAAACTCTTGCAGTAAAAACCCTCCATAAATATATAAATTCTGTGATGGACGGCCCCGGGACGGATAGCGACTGGAGGAGCCCTCAGTTCCGACAGAAAGTCGTTGCTCAGATGTGAGATATTTTCCTTCAGTGTTTTGTTGTTGGCTAAATCTCTCTTTCTGTTACTGTTGCGATAGCCCATTGAGCTAAGCTAACGTTAGCTCGGCCGAGAAAGCACGTCACGTCAAACCGTCCTTAAAAAATCTGTAAATTAACACCGACTCGCATGATATTAAACTTAGCACAGATCCACAAACATAGCGGAAAATACATCAAGCAAGACCCGTACCCACTCTTCAATTCGGCGTACATAGCAGCAACAAAACAATACTTAATGGATATATATAAGTCATAGTTTATTATTAGCATTATTAGCTACTAACGTTAGTCTGCCCACTCAGCGAGTTAACTCTTTACTCGTTTAAGCATCACTCGAGTTGAGACATTTCATATACACTTTTTTAAAAATGTGTTTCTTCTCAGAATATCAAACTCATTTATTTAAGTGTTTTTTATATACTTGTACTACCACATTACGTTCTTCTACGTTCATTACTCATTCCTGACATATAGGGATACAACTTTTTTTTTAATGTTTAATTATGCTCGGCAACATTTCTTTTCATAGATAAAAATAAATAACGCAAAACAAAAATATCCACGCATTCAACATAAATAAATATGTATTCTACAAGTCTAAAGGAAACATTGGCTCTACATTTAATAATACATGTGCATATGAATCACCACTACTATACAGGCCACAGGGGTATACATACAGTATGTATATAAGGGCCATTGCAGAATTGGAGGAAATATTCTGTCCCACCTATGACATTTCAAATAATGCACGGCCAAAATCCCAGAACATGCACCTGTTATTTCAGATATACTTGTCCTTACACAACATGTAAATTCAGTTGTAGAAAAAGTGGTTTCTCAATATAATTTAAATGGTCAAATAGCTCTCAAACACCCCCTAAAATGCATTTTTCTCTTATCCCTCCTTGGTGACCAACTTCCATATCAAATATAACATTTACAATTGGTTATTTATTCACTTTTCTTGCAATTATTGTGTAGATATGTCTTTTGTAATGGTCAAAGCTATTTGTTTAATCATAGGTGTGTCCCTCAACATGCATGCAACCCTGTTACCAAAACCTATTAAGCTTGGGTTCAAAAAAGTTACAAACTGGTAATTACATTATCAACACATTTTTAATTTGAAAGAATATTCAGACATTACAATTAGAATAGGAAATAAAATAAATGTATATTACACAAAACTACACAACAACAATAATAAACACATGGAAAAATACTAGGCCAAATATGATAATTGTAGGGAAACTCGCGGATTTTTCATAGTGCCTACAATGTTATATGTGATATTGTGATGTTTTTATGTAAACAAACACGCATGTAAACAAGACGGGCATATGGAGGTTGATAACAACACAGTAAAATGACACGCTTTATTGTGATGTATTGGTATTGAAATATGCATGACGGATATCATGATAAACAATATGACAATATCACCCAGCCTTTATATAATTGTTATGTTAAGCTTATTATCAAAGAAGACTAAAATGTATGTTTATTTAAATGGAATTGTCTGCAGCATTTCATATATTTATATACAGTAATAAAATCAATAATGCATTTAATTTTTCATATACTCAAAGGTGCTTTTCAACCTAAACATTACATAAAAGCATACAGACTTGCATGCATACAATTCAAAACACAAGATGCAGTAAGATTCATGAATGTGTAGTTTATAAGAATTTAACATGTTCAGAAAGGTGTAACTGCGTTGAATATTTTTCGCGTTTAAAGCCATAGTGTGAATGATAAAAGCTTGTTAATTTCATCCATGTGCATGATTCCAGTGAAGAAGCTATGAGGAAGGCAGGAACCGCACACACCAAATCGAGCAATGACATGGAGAACCACGTCTACGTAAAAGCCAAATCCAGAGTGAGTACTGGGAGTCTTTCCCACGGCAGGAAACATGTTTTCAGAGCAGGAGTTTGCTTAAAGATGAAATAAGGATTATTTTCATGATGGATGTTGTAACAGTTCTCCCTCTTTCTTTCCTCAGGAAGAGTATTTATCTCTGGTCGCGAGGCTGATCATACACTTCAGAGACATTCGTGAGTATTTGACTCTTAATACAGGGCGGTACTGATTACATATGCTACACAGCTTTTAAACAGTTGTCTTAATGTAATGTATGGATTTGGGTTGTAAAGTCTTTGTCATCATTTATTATAAAGTGGTACAGGAATGAGTCCTAAAACCAATAATTGAGTCCGAATGACTTCCTGTTCCCTCAAATGGAAGTAAATGGCTTTTTGGGTAGATGCCTGTAAAATAAGGTTGTGGTTAACACAAGATGAAGAGATTTTTCACATTTTGTCGACATCAAATATGTCAGGTAACAATAATAATAAAGCTTTATTTATTTAAATGATCAACGTTTTACCATAATATCTTGTTTCAACAGTTACTATATCACTTTATTTTTAAATGTTTCTATTATTATTTTAATTATTATGAATCCAGATGATTTAAAGCATCAATAACCACTCCATGCTCCGCAGTAAGTGCAGGAGTTTCTAATCACATGTCTCTCATTGACAGACAAGAAGACCCTAGGAGGCCCGGGTGAGTGCGCTGTGTTGTTTTCTCACTTGTCTTTGCTGTCCTTTACTTTCAATATGGTGTTTCAGGGTTTCTGCTGTGTATACGATACGATAATATTGGTCAGATCAAGTCTGGAATTTGACTATGCTGGAGCTGGGTAATATTTGTCTGTTGTCTATCCTTTGCCAGATCCCATGAATGCCCTGACTAACCTGACAGGGGTTGGAGGCCCGGGCGCCATCAGCATGGGGCCTCGCCCTGCTGGGGCTCCCGTTGTTGGCATGGGGGCCATGGGGCAGATGCAGATAGGCCAGCATGCCATGGCGGGGGTGGCTGGAAACCCACAAGCCAGTGAGTGTGTTTCCTCTGTGTGCTGTGATGGGCGTTACACGCCTCAAAGTAACGTGTTACTGTAATCAAACTACATTTGTCTGTAAGGTAGTAATGTAGCGCGTTACTGGTAACCGCAGTAATTACCAGAGGTGGGAGTAAGTCCTATATGTGCAAGTCATGAGCAAGTCTCAAGTCTTGACCTACAAGTATCAAGCAAGTCCCAAGTCACTGTGGTGAGAGTCAAGCAAGTCAAGTCATTGCTCAGGTCAAGCAAGTCAAGTCATATGAAATTCTGATGAATAAGCCCAGTTTCCACATTTAAATCAGTTAAAAGACAGTGGTTATGAAAATGGATTCAACCCACACTATGATCTTCATTACATACACAGTTAATCATTTGAAATCTAATTTAGACCGATGACAATCATATTAGATTCATATTAACCCTAGAACTGCAGACAATATAGCTAGGACTCAAAAAGTCTGTTCAAAAAGGCAGAACTCCAGGTAAGGAAATCATACACAGGATGCAAATACAGGTATGGTGAAAAAAGAGAGAACTATTCGAAGCAGAAACAAAACAGCGTCAAATATACCATCTGACAAAGGCCTGTGCTATAATGCTTCAATTAACTGCTCTTCTTTATAATATACTCAGATCAAGAGGAGACAGAGATGTTAAGTTATAAATCAAGGGTTTTTATTATTATTTACAGCAGGGGTGGGGAACTTAATGTGAAGAGACATTACGCTCGTGTTGTGTTCAAGGAACCTGTCATTGGCCAGGAAAAACAGGCACTCGCTTGTTTAATTATTTTGCGGTCTAGATTTCTTCTTCTTTTTTGAAGTGAGAAGTTGTCCGTCAGTCGGACGGACGGACGGACCCCCCCCCAAAAGGAAAACTCTTCGGTTCTCCACGAATTACACGAGTCACCCAAATCAGCGTTAAAAAAGCGGGAGGCGCCGAAAAGCGACTAATTTGCATTTGCCATTACACATATTTAACTTAAATGTCTGTTAACACTAGAACCGCCAACAGCGTCAGCACCTACATAGATATCATTTTCAAATCATTTAATTTGTTCCTCTTCATAATTTCCTTATAAACTGAGTAGGATGATTTAAAACTCACTTAATTGGGTTAATTTTGAAATTGCTTCAGTTTATCATCATAACAGATCAAAAAGTTCAGATTCATTTTACAATAAATCAAGGAATGATGCACTTCTACAAACAAAAACAACATCATTAAAACATTTAAACAAACTACTAAAAGTAGATGAACGACATTATTCAAAAGTTTACAGTAACTTCTGATAATAGCACAGGGGAAATAAACGAGGCATCTCTCTCTCTCTCTCTCTCTCTCTCTCTCTCTCTCTCTCTCTCTCTCTCTCTCTCTCTCTCTCTCTCTCTCTCTCTCTCTCTCTCGACAGCCCGTCAGTATCAGGATTAGTCAAAATGAATCCCTTGGAGGTTCTAGTGTTCATTTACCGTTTTGTCTTCTCTTTACTTAATCGATTTGAAACCAGGTCTAACGTAGCTTAAACTTAACGTTAGCTTTCTAGCTAACACAACACATGCACGTACCTTTCTCTGTGGGGTTTTTTGTAGTGACGAATGAAGTTGGATGTTGTGGTGGTCGTGTCACTGATCTTTATGCTGCAGACTCTGCATACCGCTGTTCTCTTCTTATTACCGTCATCGACAACATAATCCTTGAATCCAAACTTCACTATTTGTGGAGTAAAGCTAGCTGCTGCCATGTTAACTGAGACTCCTGCCTTCTAGTGGGTTGCCAGGTTTGCGCGCACGGCGCTATAATCACGTTTTTCGAAAAAAACTAAACGTAATATCTCACTACAAAAACAAACGCAAATATTTAATTTTAAACAGTCAAGTCCTTTCAAGTCATCTGTCTCAAGCTTAAGTCAAGTCTCAAGTCATGAATACCAAGTCAAAGTCAAGTCAAGTCTTTTATCAATGTTAGTCAAGCAAGTCTCAAGTCAAAAAATATGCGACTCGAGTCAAGTCATGTGACTCGAGTCCCCACCTCTGGTAATTACAATACAGTTACCAAGCACAACATTATCTCATTACCTTGTAGCTGTTCGACTATAGTTGCTGGGTGCCAGTCAGGTCAGGCCTGACAATTTATAGTTCAGATCGAGTCAAACCCTACAAAGGGTACATGTTACCGACGGGGAAAACATACAGCACATGCCCCTCTTAACCAGTACAATATTTCTGTATTTTCAATATAGTAAATTAATACCTTTGAACAAAAACACACAACACATCTCTTTAAATGCAGACAAATAATATGTTCAATAGTTCAAGAACAGTGAGTCCCATGTGAGTGAAAAAAGTGTAATCCATATAGTTAATGAAAAATAGTCCAACAAAAATAGTATAATCCACAAAACTCTGTTCCAAGTTTTCTTTGTACAGTTCCTGGTTATTCCAAAAACAATAATCCACACATCGTATTAGTTTCAGTTCAGTTCACCAACCACAGAAAACACATCTTCGTTTAACTTCCCCATCCTCCCACACAACACTTTAAATAAATGAGATACTTGAATGTCTTCAACTATCTGCATATCAGTCTGTTTGCCAGCTCATCGAGTCCTATAGTGAACCCAGAAATATTAATTACCACACAGTTTTATGTTAGCAATTTATAGTACAGGTCCGCAGCACATAGAAACTGCCGGATGCCAACCTGCATATGTTGGGTAGTTTGCACAATTGCCGTAAGTAGCTCCATTAGCATTAATTACCATTATAGCCTATGTGGAAAATAGTTTTAAAATGACTTGGCTGATCTGGACCATTTTGGAGTGATTTTTAATGTTATTTATGATGCTGAATTGAAGTTCTAATTTAGGTTAACTTTATATTGTTATTTGTCATTTGATTTATTGTACATCTCAGGGGATGTTACAGAGTAATACAAAAGTAGTTACTAATTACTTTCAGCAGTGAGTCATTTAGAAAAACAAGGCATTACTTTTGTTTAAAGTAACTAGTAAAGTGTAATGCAATACTGTTTTTGGGCAACTACCCAAACCTGTCTGTGTGACAAGGCTCACACACACTTTCCTTGTTGCCTGTGGTTGGTGTTTCATTGTTTGCACTTTCACCTATCCACACTCCAAAGAAAGCAAGTGTCCCCTTAAATCAATCTTCTCCCCCATTCCCAATATCCCTTGTGAAAGGCAGTATTCAATATTGGTTCTATTTACCTACACAAATATACTATTAACAGTGCTTATCAGGGTGGGAATTTCACGACGACCACGACGGCCATGGCCGTCGTTGCCCCGCACTTTGGCCGTGATGCCCTGTGAAAAAAAATGCAATTCACGGCCAAAGTGGCCTTTGTGCCCCTGTCAAAAGTTCCAGTGTAAACAACGCTAGTGAAGTCATACTAGTGCGCGCAGTAGGATAGTCCCGTGTCTGTGGATCAGAGCGATTGCTCTGCTGTGATTGTTCCGTCAGACATGCCTGTAGGGGCCCGACAGCACAAGTAAGCAAGCAAGTGTTTATAGAAAGTACTATTGATAGGTAATTACCATTGTATTAGCCTATTTAAAGTCGACTCGTTACATTTTGTCATGAAAACTAGCGATAGCTAGCTAGTTTGGATAGCGCTAACGTCTTCCCTTCAAGGGGTCTACATCTAGTGTTGCTTCTACAATAGTGATGTGTCGGTCGCGAACGAGCCGGCTCAAAGAGCCGGCTCTTTTAAGTGAACGACGGGAGCCGGCTCGCGCCCGCGAACGAGCCAGTTTTGTTTTTTTGCGGAGGGATCGAGATCGGCATGAAGGCACATTATGCAATGTGCACATTATCCCGCTTATTACATGGCCACATTCTCAACAAATTAACGACATGACTCCCAATATTAATTGAAATGCTTTTATGGATTTAGAAAATGATTTTATTGATTTATTTAGTTGTATGTATTTAAATTGACATGCATCCGCTAAGAAAAATAGTCCGTTGTTACTGTTTGAACTAACGTAGCAACGGCAGGAACTGCTTCGAGAGTGTTTTTGAGGAGCTTTTTGATTACAGATTTGAAAACATCGTTGCTTGCTTTAAAAGTAGCACCATTCATTAAGTCAAACCTTGGAAAGTATCTAGATATCCCTGCGCTAATGCCAAAGTAACTGGCAACTGAATATGTGTCGCCGTCTGATGTCTATGTCTGGACCGCTGCGTAAAAAGGAGGGTTTCTGCCCCATTACTTCTCTTCTTACTTCTATAAGAATAAAACACGGAGGAGGGAGATCTCTTTTTCTCCCCCTCTTCTGACAGCCCAGCAGCTGATCTCAGAGCACGCTGCCCTCTCCTGCAGGGGGGCATGGTCAGCTGCAGCTCACAGAATCATATATATACTTTATATAAATATGGCCCTACAATATATTGTTCAAATATAGCATGATAGGTCCACTTTAAGTAATACAAGACAGAAAGATGATGATCTCCGCGCTACAGCTGCTCCGTGCATGCATGCAGGTGACTAGATTAGAGACGGTTGGATGCTGCTGTTTTGAGCATTGCAATATATTTATTTTCACTATGTTATTTATTTATGATTATCCTTAGGCTCAGCAAAGATTTGATGTCAGCTGTTGCTGTCTTTTTTTCTATAGCTAATAGTTACTGAAATAGAGCCCTGCTGTTTTGTCAGGGCCTTTTCTTTAAATATAATTTTAAAATGTCGATACAGTAGCCCCTTTTTTTAAATAGTTTTTATAGGTGTTGCTATCTGTTTTGTGTAGCGTGGTTCTACAAGCAAGTCAATGCATTCATTGGGTGGTATCAGAGAGTTACACAGGTCTGTAAATGCAATGAAAACATTTGGCCACAGCAAATCATTTATATTAAACATGTCATTATTACTTTTGAATACTTCAGTACAAAGGATGTATTGAATAATTTAAGTGATATATGTGTGTACACATATAAATCATTAGTCAAAACAGGGCTACATTTGATTTAATTAAAAGGTATATTATGTGGTAAACTGAAGAGCCGTTTGGGAGCCGAAAGAGCCGGCTCTTCTTGGTGAGCCGAGCCAAATGATCCGGCTCACCAAGAAGAGCCGGAATTCCCATCACTATTCTACAAGCTAGCAGATAGCTGTCACCTTTGAATCTAGTATTTTTCTTGCTAAGCGGTTTTGATATAATACATGACTGACTTATGTGGTTTATGGCTGAACTTATACGTTTAAGAAACACTATTGCTATTCAGCCATTTGTAAAACGACTGGTGTTGACTTTTCAGTCATGTTGATTGACCAGCGTAATTTAACCAAACGGCCTTTGTGTCCTGTCATGTGGCCTTTGTGCCCTTAAAAAAAATGTGAACGGGAAGGCCAAATGGCCTTGCCCCTAAAATGACAAAATTCCAAGCCTGGTGCTTATCTTTGACCAGTTCAAATCTATTATTTCTTGCCGTTCCTCTTCATGCACCCACAATATTTGAAGTCCTCATGGTAGACAAGAGGTCTTCTCAAGGAGGAGTGTAAATCCATTTTCTGTCTTAAAGTGATTACAAAAAAGAATTGTTTTCATCATGGTATCTGATCACACAAACTCTTCAAAGCTATTATTGCATTTATTAATTCTTTTTTTTTTTTTATACCTTCCGGTAAATTTGCTAGAGTTGCATACGGCACCAACTGGACTTGAACATGGAACATAACAGGAGCATGCTCACTTGGCAGCTTGCTAAGAGTGCAGTGCTGCACGCAGACATTTGGCCCTATGTTTGTGTTTAGGACTGACTCTAAACTGTGTCTTATCTTCTTCTCCATCGCCCTGCAGTCGGGGGTCCAGGACAGATCCCCATGCAACAGATGGTACAGGCGCAGCAACAGCAGCAGCAGCAGTCCATTCAGTTCCAGCAGTTCCAGCAGCAGCAGCAGCAACAGCAGCAGCAGCAGCAGCAGCAGCAGAACGCCTTGCAGCAGCAGCAGCAGCAGCAGCAGAACGCTGCCATCCAGCAGCAGTTTCAGGTGCAGCAGCAGCTGAGAGTGCAGCAGATGCAGCAGCAGCAGCAGCAGCAGCAGCACCACCAGAACCAGCAACTACAGCAGCAGCAGCAGCAGCAGCAGCACCAGAGCCAGCAGCAGCAGCAGGCCCAGAGCCAGCAGCAGCAGAACCAGGTACTGTAGAGCTGAACCATTCATTTCTTCATTAGTATCAACACAAATGTTAACAATGTTGTGTAATGGTGCATTCACACTGGACGCGATTCCAGTTTGACTGCTGCATCATTTGTGTTTACTTGCATCACTCAAACTAGACGCTGGGAGGCAGGGCTTACATTCATGTAGATACCAACAACAGAATTAAGATGTTTTGCCGTGTTTTTAATTGTAATACACATATCAAAAAACATTGCCGAAATAACAACATACCATGAATGAAGGCTTTTGGAAGTGTGCACACAACACGGCAGGCAAAACACTTTTGAAATGCCTGCTTTCCGAATGGAGGTCCAATCAATCAGGCGAGGCTATGCTACCGTTATAGCTGATCTGTCCACACTCACAACAACGTCGTACAGACATTAATGAAATAGCAGCTGTATTCCCCATGCCATAGACCTTCTGTGGTTTGTGCTTTTATAAACACTGATTTTGTCCAGTTTCTAAACAGTTAGGAAGCTCTGTGTGCCTTCGCCCAGAGCCAACAGCTGGTGTTTTGTCTTGGTTTTCTCCTTCTACAACGTCAGTGACGACAGGCTGAGATTCTCACCAATGATAGGCTTTTTGCGAGGCAGCGTGAAAATATGGCTTGAGTTTAAAAAAAAAGATCTCTAGCAAATTAAGCTAATTTGTAGGGATGCTCCGATCGATCGGCCGCCGAACCAATATGTTTTGGATGCATATTATTCTAGTATTTGTTCAGGCTGTTACATACAATTAATCTCTGTTGTTACCTGCTGGTGAGTAAATATTAAAATCAGTTCAAATTGACAGCCGGTCCGCGTTTTTTTAATTATGTATCTGCCGGTCCTTGGCACAATAAAGGTTGGGAACCCCTGCCCTATAGGATTCAGATCTGGTGACTCTGGGGGCCATTTGAGAACAGTGAACTCATCGTCATGTTCAAGAAACCAGTTGGAGATGATTTGAGCTTTGTGGTGCGTTATCCTGCTGGAAGTAGCCATCAGAAGATGAGTACACTGTGGTTATAAAGGGATGGACATGGTCGCAGCAGAGACTAATCAGACCAGGCAACATTTTTGTCCAATTTTGGTGAGCCTGTGAATTGTAGCCTCAGTTTCCTGTTCCTAGCTGATATGAGTGGTACTCTGTGTGGTCTTCTGCTGCTGTAGCCCATTTGCTTCAAGGTTGACCTGTTGTGTGTTCAGTAGGGATGGGAACGATTAATCGAATATTCGAATATTCGAAATTATTCATGTATTCGAATATGAGTTATGAATCTTTTTTTTTTTTATAATTTTTTTTTTTTGGGAGTGATGCCTAAGTTGATTACATATTATCAAATTGAATAATTCAATGTATATATATATATACGACTATGCCATAGCTAAATGTGTTAGGTGACGTCTAAAGGTGTGTTTTGCTCTGCTCACCGGTCCCTCACAGCGGGCAGAGCTGATCTCTCTCTCTCGCGTCCGGTTATACTTCACTCGTGTTTATGTCCAAATCCATCTGATCTAGCTAGTTCTAGCCAATGATATGGCTGCTGCCCCTCCTTACACGCAGATCATGCAGACTCAAACCTCATCTTAGGCCCAAATGTGGCGCAAATGAGCTCCGCAGCCGGTGCGAGGTTCCGGCGCTAACAGTTCATGAGCGTGCTCCCCCGCCCCCTGTCAACACTCGCGACACATGAGTGGCCAGCCTAAACAACAATAAGCGCTGCTTGGCAACCGTGTGGCGGCAAAGTACATAGACATTTTGACGGGAGAGATTTAGTTTTGCCGGTATTCAACATATTTTACCAGTCATAGTCCGGTAATTATTTACACTCTAAGAAGAGTCCTACACAACAGACATGGCGTCAAAAAGGAGTAATGTGTGGAAATATTTCGACCAGGTTAGTGAGTGCGGTGTAGAGGTCAAACTATGCCAAATTAAACTTATATATACATACTATACCTTCAGGGTTCGTACGGGTGCTTAATTTTTTTCCCCAATTATTTTTTATAGGATATGTACATTTCGGTTAACCGGTTAACCGTTTTATGGGGGGTCGAATATTCGAATATACATTTGCTTTCAAATTCCCATCCCTAGTGTTCAGATAATGTCTTCTGCATATCTTGGTTGTAACTAGTGGTTTTTGAGTTACTGTTGCCTTTCTATCGTCTTTAACCAGTCTGGCCTTTCTCCTCTGACCTCTGGCATCAACAAGGCATTTTCTCCCAGAGAACGTCTGCTGACTGGATATTTGTATTATTGAAAAGGTGTACATAATCTTAAAACACAAGGGTTGGGTGATTTTCACCCATGCGATTGTGTTCATGTGATTTTCATGGTGTGTTTCAAATATATCCAACGTTAGTGATGGTGTTCTAGTGTTCTAGGGCTAAATAATAAAGTGTCCAGTTATGCCCCTTTTCCACCAAACCAGTTCCAGTTCTAGCTCCATGCTGGGGCCTTTCTGTTTCCGAACTGGTTCTTCTTTTTAGCCACAGTTGTGTTTCTACCGCAGTGTTTCCCCTAGGATGGAGTCATAGCAGCGGTGCTAAGGCATGTGGGCCCAGCATAATGTGAGCGCGGAGCGCGTGGCATGTTTTAGTGTGTGCACGTGCGAAGTGCGCCCCGACAATTTGTTTCTATGTGTCTGCCAGCACAAGAAAGGCTCTTGAGGTCAGGGCCGGTTCTAGCCAATTTGCTGCCCTAGGCAAGATTTTATATATAAAGAATAAATGAAAAATCTCTACAAAAGACAAATACACTACAAAAACAGAAACGTATTGACATAGGTCAAAATGGCTTCAAATGTATTCAGTATTGTATGAACATGTTTTAATTGGGGGGTGGACGTCACATCCTCTAGGAGGGTATGCCTCCCCGGGAAGATTGTTTTGAACATTTTAAAGTAAAATGCTTCAATCTGGTGCACTTTGCGCACACAATTACTAGAGACTAGATCTAGGGGGTACAACTCTAAAACACCCATATGAAAAAGATCGGTTTACATTTTAATAATCAAATAAGTATGTGAGCATAACCAATAACCTTCCATAGCAAATAACAAATATATGTAACTTATTTTATTTGTTCATTTATATCTTATTTATTTATTTGTGCATATTTTTGTATCCCTCCAACTTTAAACGATATTTTTGGATTACTGTCCTGTAGTATACATTGGAATGATTTCAAACCTGTTTTTATTTATCCTAATAATTATAAAGGAGTGCCTTGGAAATATGTGTTTACATAATTTGTGGTCAAAACGTTTGAGACCCACTGAGATAACTTAGACTAAAAAAGTAAAGTCCTTTACCTCACTGAGCCTCTCAGTCTGACAGGAGAGCTCTCCTCCACCCTGGTTGTAGAAACATCTACTTCTTATATCCGTTAGCGCAGCTAGCACCAGATTCTAATAACAACAGCGTCGGTACCGGTGCGCCCTCTCTCTCTCCCTCGCTCGCTCGCACTTTGGCTGTGATAAGCCTGATAAGCCAACATCCCCCACTTTCATCACTTACAGCGCCCATCGTACAGGGCAAATGAAGTGTAACAGGGGTGAAAAGGGTGTTACATTTACTTAATTATGAATGTTGTTACATCAAGGCTGAAAATTAGGATGAGCGCCAACGGTCAAATGTTTTTTTCCCCTCCCAGAGCTACCAGCGCAGCGCCCCCCAGATCTGGCGAAAAAAATCGGCCCTGCCTAGTACATACAGTGGCAATGTCTCAAGATTTAGCAAAAATACACCTTTATTGAACATACAGTAACACAAATACTACAAAACCACATAACAAACGAAAAATGAAAAAGGGTCGCTGCAGATTTCAGCAGCGGCGCTGCGCCGCCACTATTTGTATATAGGGGAAACACTGCACCGCCCAGAGCCCGACTGGTGCTGCGTCATTCTCCCCAACGCCGCTCACAACAACAACAACAACAATGGGGGGTTGCGTTGGGTCGATGATCGTGTTGCGTTTAATCATACGAAGTCAGATTTAAGAACTACTTCTCCAACCTTATAATAATTAATAATTCCTTACATTTATTATAGCGCTTTATCAATGACTCAAAGCGCTTTACATATACACACATTACACATATATGATACATGCAATGGTCAGATACTGTGGACAATACCCACAGGAGCAAGTTCAGGTGAAGTGTCTTGCCCAAGGACACACCGGCTTTACAGACGCAGCAGCGGCGGGTTTCACCCCTTGATCTGATGATCATTGCACAGCGCACTGCGCCACACCGTCCATCTTCACGCCTCGAGGTCATCGAGGCGCTTTTACAGGTACACATTAGTATTATACATGTACTGTGGACAATACCCACAGGAGCAAATCCGGGTGAAGTGTCTTGCCCAAGGACACAACGGCCTGACGCAGTGGCGGCAGGAGCGGGTTTCGAACTGGAGTTCCCCAGCACTCCCCCTTGATCTGATGATCGGATGCACAGACCACTGCGCCACCCGTCCCCCTAATATACTTTTCTCCAGAGTGCCGTGGTTCATTATTATGTGGTTCAGCGGCATTTACCGACTGCTTTATCCCCCATCCCCATAAGTGAATGGGTGTCATTCTCAATTGACGCTGTTTGGCATCACAACGCTGTTATGAAAGTTTCTCTGGTATAAAATGGGTGATGTTAGCATAGCAACCGAAGCTAATCGGACTATCTTGACTACTTGTTGCTATCCTATTGTGGCATTAGCTGTTTTTACAGGTACATTTTACCGGCGTATTTTTCATTATGATTCTACTTGTGATAGTCGGACATGGCAACCTGTGCAGCCCATGTATTGATTCCATCCGATAGCTGCTATAATACAAAACAAAATGTCTGTCTGCTCTCCACAATGATCAATAACAGCGAACGGATGATCATTGAAGTAAGGTAAAAAATAAATAGAATCACACTAAGCCTGGTTAGTGTTGCCTGACTTTATAAAGTTTTTTTTTTTATAAGTGTGTGGTCGCGTTCTAGTCACTTTGCAACAACTTTTATTTGCCGTACTCGCCATGAACTGTTATTGCTCGTTAATCTCTCCCCCCTCCGACGTAAGCGTGAAGTATTGGTTCTTGCCGGGCAGTCGAGTGGGGCCAGCTAAGTACCGGTTTTCGGTGCTTAGAGGCAGCTCCGCTGCGGTGGAAACAGGAAGAACCAGAGCTAACTCAGGCTCTAGCTCGGAACCGGCCCTGGAATCGGTTTGGTGGAAAAGGGGCATGAGTGTATATGCTAGTGCTGGGGGGAAACGATTATTTTGAAAACGATTAATCGGGCGATTATTTGATCGAATAGTCGACTAATCTAACGATTATTTTTCTGTTGTTCAATTCATAAAAAACGTAATGTAAAAAAAACGTAATGTAAAAAAATATTTTTTCACGATACTGTGTCTCAGGGGATCTTCATATTTAAGAACCTATTAATGTGTTATACCAGATTAACGGAAATAATCTCAGCTAACTGACGATACAAACCATGTTTACCAAAACAAAACACAAGTCTCATAAGAAGCATCTAAATGACCCCTGAGCGAAAAATGCTAACGGACATTGGCACAGAACTCAAGATAAAAGTACCCTTATTACTTATCGTAGCTGCACATACAATATATCCGATTAAAGCTGAGACTCCACAGATTATGTAGGTATATAGTATCATCACTGAGTGATCCGGACTCGCGACAGGGGAAGCAAATACAGTCATCACAACACGTACCTTCATAGAGCTTCTAGGGAGATCGTCTCACCACCGTAGCTGTCAATCTGATCAAAAGACGTGTTCAATGGCATTAAAATGAGAAAAAACGCGGCTGAATCGGTTAATCCATAGGTTTTTAACGTCTATGTATAAAAAAATGATTGAATTTATAATCCATAATTCCATGTAAAAATCGGAGAGCAAATGCTAGCTGCTAATGGTAGCCACCACAGCTAGCTGCTGCTTCTGCTAGGCTATGCAGCAGTCTCAGTGAGATATAAATATATAAATATCTTTGCGTTTTGGACTAACTTTAAAATATTCCCATGCTTTTGAAGACCTAGGGCGAGATGTTTTCGTTTGGGGGCTTCGTGCGCAATCCTGTGAGGAGGAGGTGGTAGCCGTTTCAGTCTCCATTGTGTTTGAAGTGCGATTGCGAACTGCTTGTTGCTTTGGGTGACACACGTGTGTGTAGCGACGCGTCGACGCGGAAATATGTCGTCGACGATATTTTGAAGTCGACGTTGTCGACGCGTCGCTACAGCACTAGTATATGCAGGGGTGCACATAACTGGTACGCAGGTACACAGTTAAAATCTGAAATGCGTACCGTCACTTGCGCCTTTGCGTAGCGACGTACTTGTGAAGCTTTTCCAGAAGGCGGTTAGATCACTGGCCGACAGAGTCGGTCTCCGTGTGCACAGACGGGGCTGCTGTTAACGTCGGTCTGTACAATGGAATTGTGCCAAAATGACGCCAACCGGCTGCGGAGGGAGACTCCCCTGTGCACATTCTGCACGCTCAGCACCCCCCCCGTCCCGTCCCGTCGGCGTTCGCGACACAGAGGGCTTCATCACATAAGTTGGAGTACCAAACACTGACCCCTGGTACTCTGAGAAAGTTATGTGCACCCCTGTGTATATGTCAGCATTGATGTTCTGTTGGTGCTAGTTTTATATCTGTTTGTGTCTGCAGATGCACCAGACGAGGATCCAGCAGCAGCAGCAGATGGTGCAGCTCCAGCAGCTGCAGCTCCAGCAGCAGCATGCCCAGGCTCAGGCCCAGGCCCAGGCCCAAGCTCAGGCCCAGTCCATTCAGCACATGGTCCAGCAGCAGCAGGTTCAGGCTCAGCCTCAGCCTCAGCCGGGGCAGATGCCTCCACACGCACAGCAGCAGCAACAGCAGCAGCAGCAGCAGCAGCAGCAACAGCCCGGTATGGTGCCTCAGTCTCTGGCCGGACAGATGACTTCCGCTCAGCACGTTCCCATCAGCTCGCTCAGTCAGCAGCAGCAGCAGCAGCAGCACCAGCTAAAGATCCAGGCCTTCCAGGTGAGACAGAGCAGCCGCCTTAAAACCTGAAACTTCTGTTGGAGTCCTCTTCGAATCAACTGCATCACTGTTGACAGAATATACTCAAGCAATTTGGGGATTTGATTTGGTTCACTATTAACTGTGTGGTCAAGGAGTGCCATAAAATAAAGAAGATTATTCTGTAAAATAATAATATCGGAAATATACAATTTGATACATACAAAATAAGTAAGTATTTAAGAAAATTGAAAAAAAAGGTAAATATAAAGACAAATAAATTAAGGATTAATCAAGAAAATGAATTATAGGGGAAAAAAGCTTCAAATAAATATGTCAATAAAAGACTTGGAAATATAAAGCAAAGATAAATAAAGTAACAATTTGATAAATAAAAAATGTGGAAATGTAACGACGAATCAAATAAGAAATAATTAAGTAAATAAATAATGTGGTAATATAAAGAATATTAAATAAGATAAAAGTAAGTAAATTAAGTAGTAGATCAAAGTAAATCAAACATTTAGTAATAAAAAAGTAAATACAAATGTAGACTTATAAACTAATAATTAAAATAAGTTAATAAAATGTGAAATACAAATAAATACAAGAAATTAATTTATTTTCCATTTATTTTTTATATATTAATAAATGAATTATCATTTTGTAATATACATTTTTGGGTTAATTATTGTAGAGGAAACTTCTGTGTAGCTATGCAGTGGGAGTCACCGACTCAGGAAAGAGACACGGGAAGAGCAGGAGCTTTGATGTCAAACACTGATGGTTTATTTGGAGCTTCGGCCGGAGAATTCACATCACAAGTCCAAGAGCCAGAGGTTCTGACTTCACGGTAGAGTTGCCACGTCAATTCTGGAGCGCCTCTCTCTCGTTAGCCCATTTAACTGGTTTCGCAGAGAGTAATCAACATATTTGAGAAGATAGCCTAAACAGTTGGGAACACTGAGTTACTTGCGTCTGACACTTATGACCTCGAAGATTTCACACCTTGGAGTCCACAAACACAGAGAAGGAAGTGTCCCAGTGTACCCACAACAATAAACCATCTGTGACCTAGGGTTGCCCGGTCATAGAATGGGAACAACAACATTATGGCTGATAATAGAAGCAGCCTATCTCCTTAAAGGAGATAACAGACATCATATCTAGGAGTCTAGGACAATTATTTCCCTAACAATTATTATAATGTAATATATCTCAATGTTTTTATAGTTCCTTAATATTTTCCTTACTGGTTTGGATTTATTTATTTTTGCTTCCAAAAACCCAAATGTGTTGGTCAAACTTGAGCCTGATGAATCACAACTCAGGGTTCCAGCAGTATGCTTACCCCCCCTCCTCTGCTTGCATGCTTTGCCGTGTGTGTGTGTGTGTGTGTGTGTGTGAAAGCAGGCCCGTGCAGCCTTGCAGCAGCAGCAGGTCCAGCAGCAGCAGCAGGCAGCTCAGCAGGCAGCACAGCAGGCTGCCGCGCAGGCGCAGATCAACGCAGCCGCTGCAGCTGCTGCCGCCGCCCCGGGACAGGTGAGACTGCAGACGCCTCAACCTCAGGTGCTTTATGTGTAAAAACTCTGAATGAAATCACTAGGGTTGGGAACCGAAACTCGGTTCCAGATGAGAACCGATAAGAAAATGCCGGGTACCCGTACAAAATACACCTTTTCGGTTCTGCTTAACGGTTCCTAAACACGGTAGACCCTGTATTCCAGCGGGTCCGTCTGCACCGCGGTGACCCGGGGGAATACATAGCGGACTGGCCATCTGTGTGTTCTGGAGAATCACAGAACGGCCGGTCGTCAGCGGGCCGGTGACCGCCGGCTCGGTACGCTGACAGCCGGCACCGCCCTTAATTTTTTTTAAACGGCATCATGTAAATTGCGCTGACAGGCAACAGAGGTCCACAGTTGCCCCGCAGCGAGGCTCCCCCCGCCCTCCCGTAGACAGTTCACGAGCTCAGTCACTTCATAACACCAAAGATGGGTCGCGGTAAACGCTCTGAAGTGAGGCTCCACTACACTAAGAAAGAAAAAGACAAGGCACAGAGCAATGCCTGTTAATAGCTTGCCACAGGCATAGCTCAGTTCAAATAAAGCACAGCTATTGTGCAATACATTTGTATTGCATGTATATTTTTTATTTGTAACAATGTCAGTTAAAGCTTAAAAGAATAAAGATATTTTTGTTATCTATACGTTTGACCTCTTTCTTTTACAATTTTGGAATCGAAACGGGGAATCGATAAGAACCGGAATCGATAAGCAGAACCGGAATCGGAATCGATACATTTCAAACGATACCCATCCCTAGAAATCACACAGTTTAACAATTTATAAAGTCGCAAGATGGTAATTTGTGTCAGTTTAATTTTACATCACATTTCCCACAGAGGGGGAAATAACATTGTTACAGCAAGTAATCGAGAGACGAAAAAATATAGAACACTATTTTATAAAAGGCATGCTCATAGTATTCAAAATAAAAATCCTTTCAATTGATAGAAGACATAACTCTGAATTCAAGAGGGTTGAAGTCTAAACATTTATAAGAAAATGCTTGGATATTCTGAGAATAGAGTGGTGCATTTATGAAAAATAGCTTGTCTAATATTAAAGCAGTTCATCCATGAAAGAATCAGCCTCCTTTTACTCTTCCTACTTATTTGAAACTCCTTTGCCCGGCATTTGGCCCGTTACCTACGGTTTTAAAAATGTTTTATCGAAAGGTGCGGTGTCTGTAGTAAACATGCACGGCAGTGGGAGCGCACGGTTGCGCTCTGTAATTAACAGAAAGATTTCACAAAACTCCTTGACAAAATACCAGTACCACAGGAAAAAGAGCGATATTTGTATTAATAATAATAATAATACATTTATTTTGGGGGGCGCCTTTCATAACACCCAAGGACACCTTACAGGGTTACAGGGTTACAGATTTACAATTCACATTTACAATTTTACCTTACAAATTAAAACAGTGGATTTAGTGAAGTATCAGCCGGGGTAAGACATTGGCCTTAGCGGGCAAGTGGAAAATATGCTCTATTTATCCACATCAATTCATTGACTTATGGAAGTATCAGGGTTTCCGCTAGGATTTTTTCTTGCCGGTCAAATGTCCGGAAACAATTTATTTTACCGGACAAATTCAAAACTTACCGTTCATGTTTCATAATAATAATAATTGTGTAGCAGAGTTTCCGTTGGCAGGTAATTACCGGACTATGACTGGATATGCTGATAATTGGGTTTAAACTGAATACCAGAGTTCCCGTTAGAATATTTTTTCGCCAGTCAACATGTCCGTTAAAGTTGAAATCTTCCGGACAAAATTTGAAAAGTACCGGTCAAAGGTCTTCTTTGTTATTTATTGAGCTTTAAAGCAAATGTATATGATTCGATATTAAACAAACTAATTATAGTAAATTAACTATTCAAAAGTGAACAGTAATTTGAAATAACACGGGAATAATAAACGGAGCGCTCTCCCCCTCTCCTGATGCCCGTCAGTATCATGCAGCTCCCGGATCAGTAATGAATGACCCGACAGTAGAACTAAACATATCTATAACTAGTTTAGGTAGTTTGAGAGGTAATTAAAATAGCTACGTGTGATATTCTAACCTGAAGTGTGTGTTTTGTCCGCTCATCGCTGCATGTGATCATGCAGAGCTGCGTGTCGACTCGTCAGCAGCAGCTGATCTCTCTCTCCCGTCAGATTAGACTTCACTCGCGTTTATGTCCATATCGATCAGATCCAGCTAGTTCTAGCTAATGATATGACTACCTGCTTATTAAAAGACACCTAAACAATAAGTGTCGCTATGCAACCGGGTGAGGCCACAAAGTATAGCGCAGCATTATGCATTTGTTTACATGCCCACCGGAACCCCGAGGCATTACCAACAGATCAACGCACAATCAACCCATCCAGGACATCTCTTTCTCCACATTAAGTGTTAGACATTAGAATTGACTATTCTTGTCTGTCACATACTCTTTTGTCTGTCACATAAGTGGCGCAACTGAAGCGGTATTGCGCTAAGCGGAAATTATTTTTGACTGGACACTTTGACCGGAGGGATTTAGATTTCTTCAGCATATTTTACCGGTCATAGTCCGGTAATTACCGGCTAACGGGAACTCTGCTGAATACTCCAGGTACTTACCCATCAGTTAATGAGGCTCATTTTTATTTTGCTTCAGTTTATAATCGTAAAAGATCGAAAAGTTCAGATTCATTTTCGTGTCCGGTTACACTTCCCTCGCGTTTATGTCCATATCGATCAGATCCAGCTCTCCTGATCGGCTTTTATAGAGAGCCCCGATCAAACTATTAAGAGTGAATATCGGCCGATAATGATCGCCGTGCTATCGGAGCATCCCTAATTATTACCGGACATTTTGACCGGCAGGTTTTGAATTTACAGTTTTTTAAATAAATGTTACCAGCTAAAAACCGGTAATTATCGGAAACCCTGGTATGTATGTATATTAGGCGCTTTCACACCAAGTACTTTTCCCAGGAATAGTTCCTGGAACTTTTATTTCCCAGAACTATCTAGTAAATCGCGTTCACACTGGAATAAATCCCTGAGGGGGAGGATTAGGCAAATGAAGCCGCTGACGTCACTTCTTCTTCTGTTTTGGGTTTACAACTTAACAACTTAACCTAACAACTTCACGGCGTTTACTGCCACCCGAAGTCCCGGAACCCCCCGGGTAACTCGCCAGAAGCGCCGACACCTCCTCATCATTCCACCGATCCCACGCTGTATTTTGTGTTGCCATAAGTTAGTCTCTCTCCGTTGGTGCTGGGCTAATGCTAAAAAAATATATTTTTGGTGTGAACGCAACACCCCAGGAACTATCGGAACTATTTCTGGGAAAAGTACGGGAAAAGTACTCCGATGTGAAAGGGCCTAATGGCTTTGGTTCATGTCCAAACGCACCATAAGGCATCAGGGTTAGAGTGGAGGATAGGGGCTAACGTGTGTCTGTATGCTCACCTGTCCTCTGAAGTTGGTTCGTCCAGGGATGATTCCAGCCCGGATGCCTCGAGCCCTGAATCCCTCTATCCCGCCTCCAAACGCTGCAGCTGCCGCCGCGGCTGCAGCTGCCGCAGCTGCCGCCGCTGCTGCTGCCGCTGTGGGAGGACAGCCTATGACACAGCAGGTATTTATCCGCACTCTGACCTCTGCCCCTCCCCCATGTGCCTCTGTCTACTGCTAGGGACGTGTATTCTTATGAAAAGATTCAGCACAAAACAGTATGGTGTCATATAAACAGATTAAAGTATTTTATTATAGAGGGAAAAAATAATCCCAATATTGTGAGATTTAAGTGGCAAATTTACAAAAAACTAAGTATTCTCTGAGGTTATAAAGTCTGAAATCTGCGTGAACAAAAGCCCTCCAAACTTTAAGAAAACAAAACACTGAAATTATTTTTGTTTCCTTTTAAAAAAACAAAACACCTATTACTATATTTTTAGGTTGCTTTTTTTTAAAAATCCAAGCCTTTGCACACATAATAAGGCCACTGTAGGTTAACATATAAAGAGGGAAGTTATGCCAGAGACATAACTCTAAACTAAGAGGTTTTAATCTAAACTCTCTACAGGAAAGGGAGCAACCACAAGCCTAAAAGGGCCCTTTGAAGCGAATGTGTCCGGCCCCCTGGAGGAGTAAAAGGTCTTAAAGTTATTCAATTTGAATGTAATACTGAATTGGCCTTATCCTTTTGTCACTTCCCTCAGGTACAGCAGCACTCGATGATGTCATCGCCCTCACCTGTGCAGGTGCAGACGCCACAGTCGATGCCCCCCCCCTCCCCAGCCGTCACCTCAGCCCCCCAGCTCACAGCCTAACTCAGCCAGGTACTACTAGCTGTATCATAATTATAGTAACAACATAAATAATAATTATGACAGTAATAAACCCTTATGCCTCACTAAGGACATCTTAAAATGTTTAATAATTCTGTTTGTGTACATGCATTTGTCCTTCATTAAGTAAGTATACATCAGCTCCTATATTAAGTGTATATTTAATAGTTAATCCAAACTACACTCAGTCAAAAATGCCAAAATGTATAAAATCCAGTTTTATTTATTATATCAGGCTTTTTTCATTTCATTTAATTTCAAACCTTTATTTAACGAGATTGGTCCCATTGAGATCATAGATCTCTTTTTCAAGGGAGACCTTGAAAAAGGTCCTGCGCTTTGCATCTAAAGCCCTGGCTTTAAGATGCAACTTTATACTATTTTCAGCCAGATGGAGACATTTTCTCATGTTCGCTCTATTACAAAAAAGACATGCTATTTTCTCGGTGTCTTGCACAGAAAATGAAAATGTATCAAATTCAATGTTGGTGCTAATTATTGACTTATCACAAACTGCGAAAACATATTCAATCTAGTATTTAATATAGGCCTACAGGAAATAACAGCATTATGTAAACAAACAACCACTGTAAAGTATCCTAGTTTCACGTGCTACACACAGTTTCTTTTTTTATTTAAAAGTGTTTATTTTTAAGCATTCTATAATTCTTACAGTATTGTTTTATTTTATTTAATAACAAATATTTAGCAAAATATTTGTTATCCTGGGTTAAAAAAAACTATCCGAAGAACAAAATGAAAAGAAAAACCTAAAGAACAAATGAAGAGTCTAAAGTTTTGGTCCAACACTCAAACAAACGCCTGGGTTAAAACTCAGAAAATAAATAAATGTGTTGTAGCAATGATCAGGAATAACATTGGTTTATTGATTTGACTCCCCGAAAGTGAAAAAAAAACGTTTTGGCATCAAAGCATCTTTTTGTCCGTCTGTGACGCGGGTTTTAAACTGCTTCCTGTCTGCAGCTCCGGCCCCACACCGTCGCCGGGGGGGTTCCAGCCCAGCCCGTCCCCTCAGCCCTCACAGAGCCCCGCCAACGCCCGGACCCCCCAGAACTACGGAGTCCCCTCACCTGGGCCCCTAAATACTCCAGGTACTTAAACAAACACAGACGCACCGATTAAGAGCTACATAAATCACATTCTATTTAAGTTAGCATTAGCATTTATGCTAACAGTAAACAACTGAAAATACATTAACATTTCTAATAAAAAATAGGAAGGCATTTATATCATATCATGATTGGACAAAAATAAATCATTATCCCTATATACACACATATATATACTGTATGTGTATATACATATATATATGCTGTATATATACAGTGGGGCAAAAAAGTATTTAGTCAGCCACCAATTGTGCAAGTTCTCCCACTTAAAAAGATGAGAGAGGCCTGTCATTTTCATCCTAGGTACACTTCAACTATGAGAGACAGAATGGGGGGAACGAATCCAGGAAATCACATTGTAGGATTTTTAATGAATTAATTGGTAAATTCCTCGGTAAAATAAGTATTTGGTCACCTACAAACAAACAAGATTTCTGGCTCTCACAGACCTGTAACTTCTTCTTTAAGAGCCTCCTCTGTCCTCCACTTGTTAACTGTATTAATGGCACCTGTTTGAACTCGTTATCAGTATAAAAGACACCTGTCCACAACCTCAAACAGTCACACTCCAAACTCCACTATGGCCAAGACCAAAGAGCTGTCAAAGGACACCAGAAACAAAATTGTAGACCTGCACCAGGCTGGGAAGACTGAATCTGCAATAGGTAAGCAGCTTGGTGTGAAGAAATCAACTGTGGGAGCAATTATTAGAAAATGGAAGACATACAAGACCACTGATAATCTCCCTCGATCTGGGGCTCCACGCAAGATCTCACCCCGTGGGGTCAAAATGATCACAAGAACGGTGAGCAAAAATCCCAGAACCACACGGGGGGACCTAGTCAATGACCTGCAGAGAGCTGGGACCAAAGTAACAAAGGCTACCATCAGTAACACACTACGCCGCCAGGGACTCAAATCCTGCAGTGCCAGACGTGACCCCCTGCTTAAGCCAGTACATGTCCAGGCCCGTCTGAAGTTTGCTAGAGAGCATTTAGATGATCCAGAAGAGGATTGGGAGAATGTCATATGGTCAGATGAAACCAAAATAGAACTTTTTGGTAAAAACTCAACTAGACGTGTTTGGAGGAGAAAGAATGCTGAGTTGCATCCAAAGAACACCATACCTACTGTGAACCATGGGGGTGGAAACATCATGCTTTGGGGCTGTTTTTCTGCAAAGGGACCAGGACGACTGATCCGTGTAAAGGAAAGAATGAATGGGGCCATGTATCGTGAGATTTTGAGTGACAACCTCCTTCCATCAGCAAGGGCATTGAAGATGAAACGTGGCTGGGTCTTTCAGCATGACAATGATCCCAAACACACCGCCCGGGTAACGAAGGAGTGGCTTCGTAAGAAGCATTTCAAGGTCCTGGAGTGGCCTAGCCAGTCTCCAGATCTCAACCCCATAGAACATCTTTGGAGGGAGTTGAAAGTCCGTGTTGCCCAGCGACAGCCCAAAAACATCGCTGCTCTAGAGGAGATCTGCATGGAGGAATGGGCCAAAATACCAGCAACAGTGTGTGAAGACTTACAGAAAACGTTTGACCTCTGTCATTGCCAACAAAGGGTATATAACAAAGTATTGAGATGAACTTTTGTTATTGACCAAATACTTATTTTCCACTATCATTTGCAAATAAATTCTTTAAAAATCCTACAATGTGATTTTCTGGATTTTTTCTTCTTCTCATTCTGTCTCTCATAGTTGAGGTATACCTAGGATGAAAATTACAGGCCTCTCTCGTCTTTTTAAGTGGGAGAACTTGCACAATTGGTGGCTGACTAAATACTTTTTTGCCCCACTGTATGTATTTGTGATTGTAACAAAATTATGAAATATACATTCCTCTATACCAGTGCTTCTCAAAGTGTGGTCCGCGGACCACTGGTGGTCCGTGAGCGCCCCCTAGTGGTCCGTGAGTATATTGGTAAAATTTCACATTTGAAATAAATAAATAAATGTAAGTTTTCCGCACTCTCGCGGGAATATCTCCGCAATGGAGCGAGCTTAAGTTTCACTTTCGATTGCATGATATAGCCCAGATAAACACCTTCATCACACATGTGGCCACTTGTTTGTACCATTTTCAGGCGATTTGTAAAAAACGATGTGTTTTTGGATATTTGTGGAGTTAGGTGGTCCGCGAGTGTTTTTTTATGGGTTAAGTGGTCCTTGGTATGAAAAAGTTTGAGAAACACTGCTCTATACCAGCGGTTCCCAACCTGTGGACCCCTAGTGGTCCGCAAAGGCATTGCAAGTGGGCCACCAAATCATTTGCAAAACATTATGATTTGTGTGGAAACATTTCATTATTAAGATTTTTTTTATTTGAACCTCTTTTCCTTTCTCTTTCTTGATCCTCCTTAGCAACGGTCTTTACAGTCCTTGACAGCGGTCTGTACTATTGGATTAACAACGTGTCACATGTTCTGAATTGACCAAACAGAATAGAGTATTCAACTAAACTATGTATAAAATAAATATAAAATAAACTATAATAAAAATGTCTGTTACTGATGGCCAGCTCCTTTTCTAATTAAAATAAAAAGTACTCGGAGAACTTTATTTAGCCTCCCTATTGTTTATTGTTGAATGTGGGCCGCGAACATTTTTTAGATTCTTAAGTGGGCCCTGAGTTGAAAAAGGTTGGGAACCGCTGCTCTATACAAACACTTACAAACAAGCATTCATTGATTTAAAAGAAAACAAAATACAACACACTAAAACAATATATATATATATGTATATATATTCATTAATGCTATTTGAAGATTCAACAATGTGTTATCTCGTAATCAGGATTTTAAAAATAAATCAAACTCGTTTTAAATTATAATAAACAACATTGCCAGCCCTCATTAAGAAAACTTCCTTGTCTTCAATACATTTTATAAATCTCTTGCAAAGCGTTAAATCCAGGCTTTTGAGACGCACACAACTTCAAGACTAAAACATTTCCATATTTTATCAGCTTAGCTCTTTTCTGTTCCTTCCCTTATCTTCCTGCCCCCCCCACAGGTAACCCCAGCTCAGTGATGAGTCCGGCGGGAGCCACGTCGCTGGAGGACCAGCAGTACATGGAGAAACTCAAACAGCTCTCCAAATACATCGAGCCGCTGCGCAGGATGATCAACAAGATCGACAAAAATGAAGGTCGGACTCAGAGTGCAAAAATGATGTACCCAATGACAGATGATGAGTTGGAAACTTTAAAAAAAGAAGTAAAGTAATTTATTCACTTCACTCATTGGATAATATATATATAACAGGGTTCGTATAGTCATTGAGAACCTGGAACAGTCATGGAAATTCAAAATGCAAATTCCAGGCCCTGGAAAAGTTATGGAAAACAATATTTTTCCCAAAGTTTTGGAAAAGTCATGGATATATAACTAAAGTTGCATCAAATATAATTAATATTTTATCTAATTGCCGAAATAGTAATACTATAATGATAATAAATACTGTATCGTATAGTAATGAAACGTAAAATGGCAACGGTCGCAGTATTTCGCTGGTGAGAGATGTTTAGGGAGGCGTGTGGCGCAGTGAGTTAGTGCGTTGGTGTTCGGATCAGGGGGTCACAGGTTCAAACCCCACTACAGTCAGCATGTCGTTGTGTCCCTGGGCAAGACACTTCACCACAAATTGCTCCTGTCAGGGATTGCCCACAGTATTGAGTATGTAAGTCGCTTTCGATAAAAGCGTCTAACATGTAATGTAATGTTACAATCACGCCCTCTAGTGTACAGTGGCTTTAGCCTGTAGGAGCAGCTACTATTTGATATAAGGCTACCAAGATCTCAGGGAAGTGCAGTTTCAACAATGTATGGCTTCTAAAGGATATGTACCAATTAGTGTTAATTTATTTGACTAAATCTATGACGAAATATGTTCGTCAACGACCTTTTTTTCTATGACTAAAACGAGACGATGACAAGACGGCACCGACGGCAGTAAACAATAACTGTAACGAAATCAACATGCAATATCGTTGACGAAAAATGACGAGACGTAAATGTAGTTTACTAAATAAAAACTATGCCAAAATCTCTCTTTACTTTCGTTGACGAAAAATGAGGAGACGAAATATTATCAAAGATAACGTTACATCTCTGATAGTCAGTTTTTCTCCCAGCAGTTCCATTTCCGGTGCTGCGGCTGGGCAGCAGCTGTGTGTCTGTGCTGCGCGCGGCGGTACATTTCAATTGCAGCGGCCCACTGAACTGTCAGGAAGACTCGGGTCTAACTCATGAGAGGTTTCTCAATACTCTAATTTCCCCTCCTCGACTCCTCGGTCCTCCGGTAGTGACCCGGAAATGAATTTCAGCTTGCCATTTTGAAGGACATCTCATTTCTCTAAATGCACACCGAGCATCGAGCGTCGAGGAGGCTCTCTGGAGGAGCTCTAACCGAGGATACACTGATGGTTCCTCCACGGCTCCTTCACGGATGCATTTCCGGGAACGGTGGAGGCGTGACGCACGGCCGGACTTATCTCAGCCAATGACAGCTCTGCATGCATCCCCTGGATATTATTTTAGAAACTGCTTTCATCGCGTGGCGATGTTTCCAGAGAGAACAGCTGTGAGGTCCGTGCAGAAAGCAGAGCAGTGTGTATAATATATCACTCAGTATAACAGGCCTACTCTCTTTATTTGCTTTAGTTTAGTAGATATCTACAAACAAAGAGTCGATATTTTTCTAAGACCATTTATTGCTTCACATAATAAAATACACAACGGCTGTAGCCTGATTATGCTTTAGGAGCTGTAGGTGCGTGTGGTACAGTGTGTAGGTGTGTGTGTGGTACAGTGTGTAGGTGTGCGTGTTGTACGGTGCGTAGATGCGGCGGACAGATGGGTCTCAGTTGGTTTGGTGTCCTCTGCTTACTTTTAATACTTGTAAATACAACTTTTGGCCCGTAATTTCAATTCCATATTTCAGTGACCAGAGAGAGGGGGGGGGATATATCCAGTCTCTAATTGTGTTACGTTATTATGAGAGTGCTCTCATACTTTAAATTGTATATATTTATATATATATATATATATGTGTGTGTGTGTGTATGTGTGTCCCCGCATCGGTAGCCTGTTATTGTCTCATTATACCGCACTGTCAATGAATCAAAGTAAATATATAAGTGGTCATGAACACATCTGTCCATCAGACAGAGGGCTGCTGTGCCTCCTGTCATCATTAATGGACGTCTCTTTAAAATGACCGCTCAGAAGAGAGGAGTTCTCCTCTCCTCTGAGCGGCTGGAGTTCTCCTCTCCTCGGTTCCCCTCCTCGAGTCCTCTGCTCGCATCTCCTGAGGGCGGGACTAAGTCTCGAGGATAGGAGTCGAGGAGGGGAAATGTAAGAATTGAGAAGCCTCTATGGTCTAACTAACCTTATTTAACAGAAAGTAAAATGGCAACAACAGGGCTTGGGAACAGTGGTCGCGTTAACAGAATACCCCCCGCCCTGTCAGTGCGAGTGAGTACACTTTCGTGTACAGACTCGACGGTAATAATGGATTATGACGGAAATGTCAATCAAAATGACTGACAACGAAAAAGTCTAACGCCACCACTGCTTGGGAGAAAGACACAATGTGATATTTGGGCCCATTTTCGCTACAATGAGGCGGAGAAAAAAAGCGAATGCATTGTTTTATCAGAAGGGAAGCAATGTGGCCATAACACAGCTGGTAAAAACACCATAAACCAGACACTCTCTGCAAAGCTGCTTTCTTAATCATTGAACCTGTGTTTTTCATCAAATAAGGACAAGATATAATCTTATTGTGAAATACGTTTGACTAAAAGGACAAATTATTGGTTTTGATTGAAATGTTCTATATAATCTGATGACTAAAAAAGACTCAACAGTTTTCATTGACAAAAAGTAGACTAAAATAATTAGTTTACTTTGACTAAAATAAGACTAAAATGCTCAGACTTTTAGTCGACTAAAACTTGACTAAATAAAAACAGGATGAAGGTGACTAAATATGACTAAAACTAAAAAGGAAATTTAACACAAGACTAAGACTAAATAAAAAAATAGCTGACGAAATTAACACTAGTACCAATTGTGGTTATCAAAAGACATTGACCCAAGACGTGCTAAATGCAAACTGTTACTGATATTTCGAATATGGGCGAGGCAGCGCTTGCTAGCCACGTCATTTTTTTGGGTCATGGAAAATGAAGTGAAGGTCATGGAGAAGTCATTGAAAATCATTGGTGAAAAAGTGTATGAACCCTGATATAATATTTGACATTTTCCACTTATCCAGTTATCAGGATAATTTACAAAAAGATAATGTCCAAATATGACCTAAGGATCTTAAAAATAATGATATAACAATTTAAAATATTAATTAAGAATCTCAATTTTAATGACTAACGATCTTAGAAATAATTTTTAAGAATGACATTTAAGAGTCACAAAGTATCTGAAAATAATGCTTATTTATTTCAAAATGATGACTCAGTATTTAAGAATAATGACAAATCTCAAAATAATGACTTAATATCTCAAATTAATGATTACGAAGAATTTCAATATATATGTAACATAGTATTTTAAAATAAAGACTTAGTATCTCAAATAAATAACTTAATATCTCATGCATCTAATCTATATATTTTTAGTTTTTAGAGTTATTCTGAAAGTAATATCAGTTTTCATCTTGTTTTCTTCTTAGCTGGCAAAAATGGGCTTTCATACAATAGTAAACAAACACAGATTATTTGAGAAACAAATTGATAATGATTTACCTATATTTACAACATGTTTCCATTTGAATGTCTGAGTCTACTGTTATACTATTTTAAATGGAGGGATATTAAGAATGACTTGTTGTTGTGTTAACAGACAGAAAGAAGGACCTCAGTAAGATGAAGAGTCTGTTGAACATCCTGACGGATCCAAACACCAGGTAACAGTTGATCCTCGACGACATCACCAACAACAACACCACCTCACAGTTTTTCTTGTGAATAAAATGTGTATCCTCTGAGCTTCAGGTGTCCTCTGAAGACGCTACAGAAGTGTGAAATCGCTCTAGAGAAGCTGAAGAACGACATGGCCGTGGTAAGAAAACCTTGAATCACTTATCATTAGGGTTGGGTATCGTTTGAATTTCCACGATTCTGATTCCGATTCCGATTCTATTTTTCGATTCCGGTTCTTAACGGTTCTCAATTCCGATTCTTTGAGGGGCAAGGTAAAAAAAACGATTACGTTCTTGTTGAGAAAAACAAGCATATCTGCCTCTCAGGCATACCGGGAAGAAATGTTTGAACATTTTGAAGTAAAATGCTTCAATCTGGTGCACTTTAAGCAGAATTACTAGAGACTAGATCTAGGGGGTACAACTCTAAACACCCATATGAAAAAGATCGGTTTACATTTTAATAATTAAATAAGTATGTGAACATAACCAGTAACCCATAGCCAATAACAAATACATGTAACGTATTTTATTTTTGTTGTTCATTCATATCTTATTTTACTATTTTATTTATGCATATTTTTTTATCTCTCCAGTTTAAAACGATATGTCTGGTTTACTGTCCTATAGTACACATTGGAATGATTTCAAACCTGTTTTATCCCAATAATTATAAAGGAGTGCCTTGGAAATATGTTTTTACATAAATTGTGATCAAAACGTTTGAGACCCACTGAGATAACTTAGACTAAAGTGAACTATCTAAACACTCAGAGTTCTTTACCTCACTGAGCTGTAGTATCAGCCTCTCAGTCTGACTGGAGAGGACTCTCCCTCCACATCATTGTAGAAACATCTTCTTCTTCCGTTAGAGCAGCTAGCACCAGATGCTAATAACAACAGCGCCGGTTCCAGTGCACCCTCCCTTTCTCCCTCGCTCACTCGCACTTTGGCTGTGAGCTGCGGGCGCCTGATAAGCCAACATCCCCCATTTTCATCACTTACAGCGCCCATCGTACAGGGCAAATGAAAAGTGTAACCGGGGTGAAAAGGGTGTTACATTTACTTAATTATGAATGTTGTTGCATCAAGGCCGAAAATTAGGATGAGCGCCAACGGTCAAAACATTTTGACCGTTGGCGAACATCTATAACGCCAGTGCGACGGGGCGGCCCTGGTCTCAGGTTACGCTGTAGGAAGTGTAGGTACAAAACTACATTTCCCGCCCCGCCGCAGTCATACAGTCGGCTACGGAGAGCGGCGAGAAACATTTCCTCAGGAATCGAAAAGCGGAACCGAAATTCACATTTCTAAATGATGCCGTTGGAATCCAAATGTTGGAACCGGTTCCGGTTCTCGGTACCCAACCCTACTTAACATTAACAATAATTACCTGCCCATTCATATTTAGAAGAAGGATGATTTATCTTCACTTCTTATCGTCTCCACCTAAAAGGACCTGTGCACTATCTGTGCTTTTGTATTAACAATTCAAATCTGCGTAACATGGTTTGAAAGCTACATAATAAGCTAATTAACAGACAGGGTTATGACTAGGGTTGGGAACCGAAACTCGGTTCCAGATGAGAACCGATAAGAAAATGCCGGGTACCGGGTACCCATACAAAATACACAATTTCGGTTCTGCTTAACGGTTCCTAAACGCGGTAGACCCTGTATTCCAGCGGGTCCGTCTGCACCGCGGTGCTGCGGTGACCCGGTGGAATACAGGGCGGACTTGGAGAATCACAGAACGGCCGGTCGTCAGCGGGCCGTTGACGGCCGGCTCGGTACGCTGACGGCCGGCACCGCCCTTCATTTTTTTAAACGGCATCATATAAATTGCGCTGACAGGCGACAGAGGTCCACAGTTGCCCCGCAGCGATGCTCCCCCGCCCTCCCGTAGACATTTCACCAGCTCAGTCACTTCATAACACCAAAGATAGGTCGCGGTAAACACTCTGAAGTGAGGCTCCACTACACTAAAAAAGAAAAAGAAAAGGCAAAGTGTAATGCCTGTTAATAGCTTGCCACAGGCATAGCTCAGTTAAAATAAAGCACAGCTATTGTGCAATACATTTGTATTGCATGTATATTTTTGAGTAACAATTTCAGTTAAAGCTTTTAAGAATAAATATATTTTTGTTATCTAAACGTTTGACCTCTTTATTTTACAATTTTGGAATCGAAACGGGGAATCGATAAGAACCGGAATCGATAAGCAGAACCGGAATCGAAATCGGAATCGATAAATTTCAAACGATACCCATCCCTAGTTATGACACTTTAATTTTATACTCAAATGTATTGATCACGGAGAAGATCGGTAGCTCAAAAGAGTTGTAGCATAGCAAATCTAAAGCCAACTGTTTAAAGGGGACCTATCATGCAAAATGCACTTTTGTACGTCTTGTATACATGAATATGTGTCCCCGGTGTGTCAGGGAACTCACCAAGTGTCAGAAAACACAACCCTCTCTCTTTTCCTCCATACCCAAATCTCTAAAAAAGGGGCTGCAACGGATCTGATACAGACTGATCCAGATTTGAACACTTTACTGACGGGGGGGGGGGTGCGGTGCCCTCACACATATTGTGTAACCATATTGAATATAATATGTATATTATAAATATTGTCAAGAATGTGGAGTTTGAATGTGTTGTAGCCGAAGGGTGCAAATGCCCAAAACACTTCCATGAGGAGAAACGCCCTGCAGTTTTAAAACAATGTAAAAACACTAACGTCCAAAAACACTAACGTCCAAAAACACTAACGTGTGACGCTGGGACCGGAGCGCTTGTTGGTGTTTCAGGGATTATAAAGTTGTCCCCTGGTTTGCGTTGTGTTTTGAGCTTCTTGCTGCTTCATTTTGTATTTGCAGCGTTTCGTTCATGCAGCGCTTTTAGTAAACGATACGCATGTTCCGTCAAGTTGGTGAAGATGCTTCCTCATTTGTTCTGGAAGTGTTTCTCCTAATGAAAGTGTTTAGGGTCGTTGTAGCATGTTTGCACCTGTCGGCCGCCATAGTTAAATATAGACCCCAGCAAGAATAGATGATACCGCGGTAACTAATGTGGATCCAAAATAGCAAGACAAGTATTTACCTAGGCGTATGAGTATTTAAAGCAGGCGTTTGAGAATCAGTCACATTTCTTTTTTTATGCCAGATATTTCAGGGTTATAGTGATGCTCTTCTTCAGCCTAATGTTCTCAGCCTCATTACACTATGTTCATGTTTTTTTAATGCACCCTGGCATCTTATCAACCGTTGAAATGTTCCCATTTGCATATATTGATTTTCCCTGCTTTCCCTAATTATTTTCAAAATGAGAATTTTTAGGAATAAGTATAATTATTGTGGACTAAATGGCCGGGTACATTTTTTAATGATTTAATATGGGTAAAGTGGTTAAAGCAAATAATAGAGCAGGTGGATTCTGTGAGCCTGTAAAACACTGAGAATGTTGATAAATAATTATAGTTATTGTGTTTAATAGGGCTGCCCTCAACTCAAGATGTATCTAGTTGACCAGTCAATTAAGGTGATTAGTCGACACGTCGTTGCACGTTTATGATATATAGCCGGGCCGGCTAAAATGATTGGTCGTGCTTTTTACAGAACCACGGCTTCCACTGAGGACATGTTTTATGGATTTTTTGTCAAAGCACTTCAGATATTCATTGCTATCGGGACGTTAAGAGCATTCCATGGAATATAACAAGTGTATCTCGAGCCGGTTTCTCAAACTTACCGCCTTTAACACATGAGTACTATATATATATATATATATATATATATATATATATATATATATATATATATATATATATATATATATATATATATATATATATGTATTGTTATTTTTCAGTTGTTGGCCATATTCCATTATATGTTTGGAATGTGCTCAACAACGGGCCGTAGTTTGGATGCCCCTGCACTACGCTCTGTTACTAACTGTTTGTTAATCCACCCTGGTACCTTGAACGTTTTGTGGATGTATTGTGGCTGCAGTCTCAGTGTGTGCTTGTCGTTTCAGCCAACCCCCCCACCCCCCCCGGTGCCCACCAAGCAGCAGTACCTGTGTCAGCCGCTGCTGGACGCCGTCATGGCCAACATCCGCTCGCCGGTCTTCAACCACTCGCTGTACCGAACCTTCGCCCCCGCCATGACCGCCATCCACGGCCCCCCCATCACGTATGTTTCCCCCCCACTCTGCAGTACATTCAAGTTCAGGTCAGATACACATACTAGTGCTGGGCTATATTTAGATATAATATTAATATTGTGAAAAGAGACTAGACACCATGTGAGGATTTTGGATATCCTCACATTACAAATGTGCATTTTTGTCCTGGTTTTAAAAGCTGTTTACATGTCATTTTCTAAACTCAGACTGTTCTGCTTTTTGCCTTTACCCACAGTCATTATATTCAGTATACTAATGATTAATTAGACGATTGGCATATTTGAATTTTAATACAAGACATATATAAAAGTTTAACTGAATACAAAATATATAGAATTAGAAATGTCCGAAAGTTGAAAAAGTGACTCATTCAAATGTCTAAAAATACAAATAATAGAAAACAGAAACGGAAGTATGATTTATTTTAATTTGTTTCTGCTTAAAAAACAAGTTATCAATTATTAAATAAATAGAATAATTATCTTTTAACCAATCTACTCTCTAATTCTAGATGTATGCACCAATGTGATTGTGAATCAAGGTATTAATCATGATAAATCACCAGAGGGGGGAGAAGTACTCAGATCTTGTACTTGAGTAAAAGTAGAAGTACCAGAGAGTAGGAATACTCTGCTACAAGTAAAAGTACAAAAGTATTAGCATCAAAAGTAGCAAAATGAAAAGTAGTCGTTGTGCAGATTGGTCCATGTCAGAATAATATATATGATGTGTTTTATAATGATTGATCATGAAAGTGTTCTCAAAGCTGGTGAAGGTGCAGCTAGTTTGAATGACTTTGTATACTGCAGGGTAGCTTGTGGATTTACTCCAGGTGGAACTAAAGTCTGATTCAACACTTGATTATATTTCACATCATTCATCCAGATCTGTAAAGTAACTAAAGGTATAAATACATGTAGTGGAGTAAAAGTACACCTTTTAACTCTGAATTGTAGTGAGTAGAAGTACATAAAATGGACCTTTGTAAATAACTTATTATTTTGTTATCAACACGATTAAAGTTTGATCGATTGACAGCGCATAAAAAGACAGGGTTGAAGAAAGATTTAAGAGTTGCATAAAAAGTGAAAGTAAAGGAAGGTTGTGTTTCTGGTCCTCAGGGGTCCCAACGTGACAGGCAGGAAGAGGAAGCACGAGGAGGACGAGCGGCAGACCATCCCCAACATCCTGCAGGGGGAGGTGGCCCGGCTCGACGTCAAGTTCCTCGTCAACCTGGATCCCGCCTTCTGCAGCAACAACGGCACCGTGCACCTCGTCTGCAAACTGGGTCAGTAGTCTGTCTGCCAGCAAATGTTGAGTGCCCCAAAGTTTACTGAGAGAAATGTATAGGGTCCCCGGCTCATAGAAATTGCCGGATGCTAACTTGCATATGTTGGGCAATTTGCACAATTGGCATAAGTAGCATTAGTTAGCATATGAAGACAATAGCTAAGAAATGAGTGTGCTGATTTCTAACTTCTAGGGGACTCAAAACTGCATTTTTGATCCTATAAATATCAGTAATGGATACAACATCCTGAATATACATACAAAACCACACCAAAACTGTCCAAATCAGCCAAGCCATTTTGTAGCTATTGTCTGCTTATGCTAATTGTTGCAACTAATGCTAATAGTGCAAATTGCCCAACATATGCAAGTTAGCATCCGGCAGTTTCAATAAGATAAAATAAGATGGACCTTTATTCATCCCCGTAGGGACGAGATGCCAAAAGCCCATGTAAAGATTCTATTTGCCGACTCCTCATCGGCTTTTAACACCATCAAGCCAAGTATTTTAGCAAATATTTTAACGGAAGAATTCTCACTTGAACCTGGTCTGATCTCCTGGATCGTTGACTTCCTCAGCTGTAGAACTCAGCAGGTCAAAATAGGCATGGCACTTTCTGACACAATAACTACCTGGATAGGCTCACCCCAGGGATGTGTCTTATCCTCTCTTTTATTTATTTTATACACCAACTGCTGCATCAGCACTTTTCCCAATAGGCACTTTATTAAGTATGCAGATGATACGGCCCTGGTCAGCCTCCTCTTTGATGAGGAAGAGGAGCATGGGCCTGTCCTTGACTTCTTTATTAACTGGTGTGAGAAGTCAAACCTGCTTCTAAACACCTCAAAAACAAAGATTGATTTTAGAATAGCACAATCGCCCAACCCTACTCTTTTAAATAGCGAGCCCATTCAATGTGTCACTGAGTACAAGTATCTTGGTGTCGTGCTTGACCACAAGCTCAGATGGGATGTTTGGACTGAGAAAATAAAAGCTAAGTCTCAACAAAGAATGTTTTTTTTACGTAAATGATTGTCTTTTAATGTCGGCAACAGAATGGTGAAGATGTTTTATCATGCTTTTATCGAAAGTGTGACTCTCCTTCGGCATCAGATGCTGGTTCGGCAACGCAACTGAGGCACAGAAAAAGTCAGTCAGGAGGGCCATAACATTGTCCAGTAAATTGACAGGAATCTCATTTGCTAATATAGAATGCTTATACAAGGACAGAGTTTTAAAACTGGCACACAATATTGTGAGTGACCTGAGGCACCCTCTTGCCTCTTACTTTGAACTGTTGCCATCCGGGCGGAGATATCGTCCCCCTCTGTTCAAAAAGAACAGATCTCGGCTGTCTTTCGTCTCACAAGCCATCAAACTCCTGAACAAACGATGGCTAGGACGCCCTGTTTACCCAGCTGGTCTGGCCCTGTCCCCTCTATTTCGCAAATAATAATAATAATACATTTTATTTCTATAGCGCTTTTGAACCCAAAGACGCTTTACATTTGGGAGGGATGGTAGACAAACAAAACAAAAACGAAGCCAAAAAGAAAGAAAGAAAGCAAAGCAAAATGAGGGCCCTTGTCATGTCTGCTGATATCTGGTTTTCTTATGTCTGTTTGTTTGAATCTGGGTCTATGTTGTTGTCAGTGACGTATTGTCTTATCTTTTTAAATGCCTTTGTGATGTGCTGCAACCCATTTTCCCCTCGGGACTAATACAACGAATACTAATACTAAATTCAGTAGTTTAACAGCAACAGGGTAAGAATGACAAACAGGACAGCACAGATTCACACAGATTCACACAATTCAAGATCAAATCAAAGATACAAATACAATTTTATATATACAGTTAAGTAACTATAGAATAAGAAATTAATTCAAATGAACATGTATACATATTGGGTCATATATACATATTATAGTGTGTATATCTATGTGCTGCTGACCAATACTATACATTTCTAACATAACACTTTGGGGGACAACATTTCCAGGTTCACACGGCTGGCAAGTATTCTGGAGCAAAAGCTTTAGAGAAGCCATTTAGCTAGGAAGCCCTTCTAATTGTGTGTGTGTGTGTGTGTGTGTGTGTGTGTGTGTGTGTGTGTGTGTGTGTGTGTGTGTGTGTGTGTGTGTGTGTGTGTGTGTGTGTGTGTGTGTGTGTGTGTGTGTGTGTGTGTGTGTGTGTGTGTGTGTGTGTGTGTGTGTGTGTGTGTGTGTGTGTGTGTGTGTGTGTGTGTGTGTGTGTGTGGTGTGTGTGTGTGTGTGTGTGTGGTGTGTGTGATGTGTGTGTGTGTGTGTGTGTGTGTGTGTGTGTGTGTGTGTGTGTGTTCTCTCAGATGATAAAAACCTTCCCAGCGTTCCTCCTCTGCAGCTCAGCGTTCCTGCAGATTATCCCGACCAGAGTCCATACTGGGCCGACGACGGGGACCGTTACGGTGAGAGCACCTCTTATTTAATCAGGGGCAATGTGACAAATCAAAGATGAAAAATAAGCAGTTTATGTTAATCAGGTATTAAATACAAAGTCTCTGAAACTGCTCACAGTAAAACATGTTTGCTCCAGCTAAAATAATAATACACCATCATCTTCGTCCTGAATGAATGCTATAGCGGTTATTTTGGTTAAATGCTGTGAAAAGCCCAAGGCCATGACAAAAATCTGCAATACTAGCATGGAAATATTTCACATCAAGAATGTTTGAAGCTTTAAAAAACTGATTGACATATATTTAATAGAAATATGATATTGGGAGATCAGCATTAATGTTGTGATTGGTCAACCCCTTAGAGCTGTTCCGCCTCTGTACAATATGTTGGAGCACTAGCCAATAGAAGCACAAGTGTTACATAGTGATGTCACTATGTTCCGGAAGTAAACAAAGGAGTCCAATGGTGGCGTTTCAGGGTGGGGGGGGGTGAGAGAGTAAACTCCCTCTGGAGAACACACCATTCACATGCAGAGAAACCTAAATAACACACTACAGGAAAGAGAAAACAAAACATCATAATAATAATAATAATAGGGAGCTAGTTAGAATTAGAACTATATGATTCATTCATGCTTAAAACTCAAATTAGAATAAGGAGAAAGTTAATTAGAACATTATCATGATCATAAAGGGATGTTTTTGTGGGTTGAATAAATTCAGTTGTTTGAAGGAAAGCTAATATTATCAAAGCAAATATTTTAAATTGGAACAACAGCTTGCTGGTTGAGCAACATTAAACCTTAATTCTCATTCATTATAATATTCTGATCATTATTATCATTATCATCAAAATATATGATTATATATGTTTATGCCGTCATTTTACGTGTATTTCTTCGTCTTCAGATCTCTCTATAAACTGAGATGCTGATCATGATCTACTTGACATGTTGTTGATCACATGACCCTACTTGACTAACAGATACATGTTGTTGATCACATGACCCTTTGCTCCTCCAGACGCCAACAACTTCCTGAAGACGGTGCACAGAAACATGACGTCCAAACTGCTGCAGCTCCCCGACAAACACTCTGTGACGGAGCTGCTGAACACCTGGGCGCAGAGCGTCCGGCAGGCCTGCCTGTCTGCCGCCTGAAGCCCCGCCCACTTCTGTCTGAAGCCCTGCCCACCATTGCCTGATGCCCCACCCATCACCTGACCCAACCTGCAGACACCTCGTCCTCTCTGTGTTCACACCAACCATTGCATCATTTCCGCTAACTTGCTTTCCTGAGTTACTCCATCATGATGGCTATTTGTAAAGAATCTGACTCAATGCAGGACCAAACTGCTTTTGAAATGCTTGTCTTTCTCAATGGAGTTTGATCGTGGCTATGCTAACACGTTAGCTGCCTAAAATAACCTCTAAATACGGCAGCGATGTTATTGTTTATACATAGAGATATTAGGCGTGCCGAAGTATTTACCCGGTGTTTCATGGACAAACAGCAATTACATTACTCAGGAATAAAACCCATTTGGTGAATAATCGCTGAGGAGTTCAAGGCCCACGTGAATAACCAAAACACTGAACTTTGTAAAGCGTCAGGGCTACAGTAAAGAGAAAATCAGGGAGAGTTTACTGACAAGACCATGTCTAGGTTTAACCAAATGCTAAAAGAGAAGCTGATAAAGTCAGTCAAATGTTAGTATTTTCTTGTGTGGAGGACGTGCAAGGTAAAAAATATATATTTTTCTTGCTAAATGTCTACTGTAAGTTATCCGGTGGCCAATGTTCCTCACCCTGGCATCCCTTAAATATATTTCTATGTATAATGTGCATCTCTAAAATGATATAAACTCCACCGCATTTAACAATGACAATAATCTTTCCTTTATTTCTAATTTAACGTCACGCATCGAATAGGGAGACGCATTGCATTGACGTTGATCGGGGAAAAAACATTTAATTTATAAAGCACTTTTCAAGAACCCAAATAAAGTATACAATAACAAACATTTCATAAAAGCAAACAAAAACAAGATTCATTGATTAGTTTAAGAAAATAGTCATTATGAACCAGAAAGCAGTGTAATCTGGTTTGGTGTGGACACAGCGTGAGCCCCCCCCCCCCCCCATACACTACAGAACCTGCAGGACTTTTCCTCGTCATACATGTGCAGCTGTCCCATGAACGCCCCGTGACTGATATCTTGTATTCTGACCCCGACATTTCTCCTGATACATTCTGGGTAAATTCAGACGTTTGCTCGCCTGCAGAAAGGACTTCTTCCACGCTGCATTCAGAAGTCCCATAGACAGAGAGCAGATTTTAGCAGCTTGTATATAACATGAACACAAAAAGGGAAAAAAACAGTAACCGGACCGCCTGAAAGGTCATTTATCCCGATCTATATTCTGCTCCCTGAATGCATCACATTGCTTCTGTTTATTCTGTTTCCTGTTTGAGATGTCATTTCAGTTTTGTACCACAGAAGAGCGCTGTTGTAAAGAAAAAACTCTACTTTGCTTTTCAAATGAAAATATAAACATATTTTTTTGCTATCATGAATAAAAACTTTTCTGTTCAACTTTTTAAATATAGAAACCGTTTCAGTCACTGAAGACAACATGTACTTTTCTGCAACAGCTTCAGTTTCACTGGTGTTGGATTAAAGCAACAATCATTTAACATTTGTTATAAAAACATCAGCTTTATAATGATGTAGAGAAGGTAGTTAAAAATAACAAATATTAATCTCAACAAGAATCTCTGAAATCTTAAAATAATTGGTAATAATTATAATTAACAAAATATGCCATTAATGTCACTTAAACCCTATTCTGCTCATTTTCAGGTTCATAATGATGTTGTGCCTCTGGGACATGTCTCCATGCGCTAATGTGCTGCAGCACCTCTTTTCACCCTCTGTCTGAAACCAGAGCCCAGTCTGCTCTGATTGGTTAGCTGGCCGGCTCTGTTGTGATTGGTCAACTGCTTAGAGATGTTCCGCCCCTAAGCCTTGATCATTTATGATGTGTTGAAGTGCTAGCCAATCGAAACGCCAGTGTAACATAGTGATGTCACTATGTTCGGGAAGTAAACAAGAGTCCAATGGAGGTGTAGCAGGAGGGGAAAATAAAAACAACAATATATAAATAATCCCTCCCTGATCCCATGGGGAGTGGCTAAACAAGCCACACCTGAGAGCTGGAGGAAGCTAATTAGACAAGTAAGTCACAGCTGTGAGCTGTGGAGGAGAGGAGACACTGAACTCCAGAAAATGGAAGAAGTGGAAGTCTGATGCAGCTTAATAACCCAGTTGGATGTTTGGGGAGTGTTTCTGGTCGTACTGAACCCAGGCGCTCCAACATCCTCCTTTGACCTGCATTCCCGGCCTGCTAGGACTTCAAGGTACGTTTTTCTCTGCATCCTTACAGATTCTCATTCCCCCGCCCCCCTTAAAACCCTACACTCAAACCTGCACCCACACACCACTCTGAACTGGTTGGAGAAACTCCCTCCGGAGGGGGCACAGGGATTTTAGCCTTTGCAGACCAATAACAATCACACATGTTATGCAAACATAACACACTACAGGGAAGGGAAAACCCAGAAAGCAGTATAGGGTCCCTTTAAATGTTGATGTCTCCTAGATAAGAACATAGGCAAATATTTTATGTTCAAATAAACATTTAGGCTTTTTTTCCTCTAAAGCCACGTCATTTGTTTTTTCCCTCAAATGTTGGTTATTGTAAAGTCTTTCTATTGAATTCAGAATTACATTATACAAATGTTTTAAATATGACTTGCCTTAAACTGAAGGAACCTTGTAGATAATGAACATAATAATTATAAAAACTGTATAAAATGAGACATATTTTATTATTTTCAGACTAAATGGTACAAAAGTTGTCAGGTGATTTTCCAACAAAGAAATACAGATATTCATAAATCATTAAGTGTGTGTGTGTGTGTGTGTGTGTGTGTGTGTGTGTGTGTGTGTGTGTGTGTGTGTGTGTGTGTGTGTGTGTGTGTGTGTGTGTGTGTGTGTGTGTGTGTGTGTGTGTGTGTGTGTGTGTGTGAGTCAGAAGCTGAGGGAGAAGGCTCTGTACGACAGGTTGGTGAACACGTCGATGTGATTGCTGCTGCCTCCCACCGTCAGCATCTGCGCAGAAAATACAAACATTTATTAATCTTTTATTTAATAAATTCAGTATTCTGGATCAGTGTCTTGTCTGCTCTCAACATGCAATATATTTTAGAGAAAATAATCCCTTTTAAGAACCCAAAGACACAACTATCTGTTTTATTTGTTCCAAGTCCTTTATATATGTTGCATTGTAACTTGTCAAAAATATCATTTTTTAAAGGTCCCATGTCCCTTGTGTGTTATGAAGGTTTTTCTGCATGTGAACGGTCTGCAGAGTCACAAACCCTCAAAGTACAACCTGTAGGGAGTAAAACTCTAACACAGAAAAGACCTGTCTGTGCTGCCCCAGAATGCACCTCACACACCAGGATCCCTAACTAACAGGGAGTCCCATTGACTTGCATAGAGGTAATAGACGAGTTGGGATGGTGGAGAAATGCTCTCCGCAGACTCATTCTCACAGCGTTATAAACCTTTTTCTTTCTCAATATCAAGCCACACTTATTGTTTTTACTTCGGCTGTGAGTGTTTGTGTGTGCTCAGGATGAGTTTCGCTTGTTCTCGCTGTATCGCCGACTGGAAAAAGTGCTCCGGTCCCAGCTGTGTGCGTCTCTTTTTGGGGTCACCGTGTCCGTTGTGTTTTAAGCCTCTTGAAGCATTTTGTTTATGCAGTGCTTTTAGTAAACGCTGTGGATGTTTCCTCAAGTTGGTGATGATGTTTCTTCATTTGCATGTGTTTTGGCACATTTGTGTTTATATATTTGCATCGTTTCTGAAGCTGCACGTTTGCACCTGTGGGTCCCCATATGATACACCAATAAAAACACAATAACTTGCGGTGCATTCACTGTCTCACTGTGAAGTAACCGCAGATGTAACATGTATGTTATTTAACTTGTGGTGCGTTCAGTGTCTCACCCGGTGCTCTGCGCTGTTGGTGTTGAGCTGCAGCGTGTTGAGGCTCTGTGGCGTACAGGGGATCTGAGCCTTGACCTCCCCCCCCAGGAGACAGTGAGCCACAGACGGGCCCTCCCCCACAGCCAGGATCTATAGAGGAGGAAGGTAGGATGTACATGTTTGAATTAATACTCAGTTTAAACATAAAAAGGTGTAATAAAGAATAATAATACACAATTAAAAAGCTAGTACTTTATTATTTCATGGAGTCACAGTATCCACAGCATTGTCCTGCTAATATTTCCGAATAAAAGCCTTAAAGGTGGGGTAGGTAAGTTTGAGAAACCGGCTCGAGATACACTTGTTGTTATATTCCATGGAATGCTCTTAACATCCCGATAGCAATGAATATCTGAAGCGCTTTGACAACAAATCCATAAAAAAATATCATCTGTGGAAGATGTAAAAAGCACGACCAATCATCTGAGCCGGCTAAAGTAACTGGATGGCCTACCTGCCTGTCAGCCTTCCATCTGAGCACTAACTGATCTCGTGCCCTCATTGGTCATGTGCGCGTTCCTGTGTGTTGGAGGAGGGGCTCTGAAAGGAAGTGGCAGATTTCTTCCGGCTGTGTATTTTCAAATTCTAGCGCACTCGAGCTGGTTTCTCCAAAATGACCTACCCCACCTTTAACAACTGAAGAGATATTATTATTATTATTATTATTATTATTATTATTATATAAAACACGAAAGGGCTTTTATTTTGAAACCGAAAAGTTTAGTTAAAATGTAAATGTTTACTTTTCTCATGTCTGACGTATGCTACAGAGATTAAGACATTTAGACTTTAGTATTTGTTTTCATGTTTCTTTTCGACTTTTCCATTGGATTTGGTTCATCTCCACATAAAACTTGTATAATGATGAAACGTCAATGAAATAACCAGAAGTTCAAAGCTAACGTTATGCTATAAACAAATTACATTTCGGTCAAGTCTTCACATCAACACCGCTAAGCTAAAGGTGGCTAATGTTCGATGCGATGACGTTTAGTAGTCTCCTTTAGACAGTTGTTGGCAACAGCTGTTTTAAAGACACTACACATATTCACCAGTGGGGGATCTACTGACGTGTTTAGGGTACATCAAGCATCAGAAAAACACGTGTAACGGTGTGTGTGCAACGCGGGGTCTCACCATGTCCTGGTAGAAGGACGTCTGTCTCTGGCAGCCCGTCAGAGGGAAGATGGAGGTCGGGGACAGAGAGCGGAGATGCCACAGAGACAGAGACGGACCTCCACCACACAGCTGCAGGACACAACCACACCATTAGTACTGAAAGAGTTTTCATTGGGGATAATCATAAGGAGAATACAACTATAATTCATTAACACTTTTTAGTTCCTTACCATCCAGTCTGAGTCGGTGGTCAGACAGCTGATCCATTTACCGTACTGAGGTCGAGCACAACTCTGAAACACACCAGTCTGTTCATTTTTCTACCGTTTTAAAGACTTTTACAAATGCAGAGCTGATGGGAGGATGACTTTGAGATGCAGCTACATATAAAGAACAGAGATGGGAGGAGGAGGTAGCAAGGAAGGTGAGCAAGAGGAGCAAAAAATAAAAGGGAGGAAGAAAGGAAAAATATGAAGAAGAGAAGTGAAAGTATAAAGGAGATGAAGTAAGAGTTCAAATCTGCTGCTCCAATGTAAGGTGAAACACATTTTTTCAAAAGTGAAATTCGTTTTTTAAGAGATACTTGCTATATACAGTGGAGGAGACAAGTATTTGATCCCTTCTTTGCCCAAAGAAATGAACAATCTATAATTGTATTGGTAGGTTTATTTGAACAGTGAGAGTAAGAATGTCAAAAAGAAAATCCAGAAATCTACATTATATAAAAGATAAAAATTGACTTGCATTTAACTGTGGGAAATAAGTATTCGATCCCCTTGCAACCAACAAGGATTCTGGCTTCCACAGTCCTTTCAAAAAGTACTCCTTATATCAACTTGTTACCTGTATAAAAGACACCTGTCCACAGAATCAGATTCCAACCTCTCCACCATGGGCAAGACTAAAGAGTGGTCTAAGGACCTCAGGGACAAGACTGTAGACCTGCACCAGGCTGGGATCGGCTACAAGGTCATCAGAAAGCAGCTCGGTGAGAAGGAGACAACTGTTGGTGCCATTATTCAGAAATAGAAGAAAGACTAAATGAGCATCAGTCGCCCTCGGGCTGGAGCTCCACACAAGATCTGGCCCCGTGGGGTCTTGGTGATGATGAGAAAGGTGAGGGATCAGCCAAGAACTACACGGAGGAACTTGTTAATGATCTCAAGGCAGCTGGGACCACAGTCACCAAGAAAACTATTGGTAACACACGACACCCTCATGGATCACATCCTGCAGCGCCTGAAGGCCCCCTGCTCAAGATGAACATGAGAGGCCGTCTGAAGTTTGACAAGGAGCATCTGATTGATTCAGAGAAGGCTTGGGAGAAGGTGACGTGGTCAGAGGAGACCAAAATGTTGATCTTTGGCATC